CTGCTTCAGTGGTAGCACAAGTTGAAGCTTCCGCCGATTATTACGCTGAAATTGATGTAGAGAGGTGAGGGGATACCCAGCCTTTGGGGATGGGATGTCCAACCCTTGGGGTGTGTTAGCCCCCCAGCTCAGGAGGAGTTACGTGATGCGGGGATGGTACGCGTGGCGTAGGAGCACAGGGCGATGATGCGCGAGGGATAGGCGCGCGGCGCTAGCGCACGTCGGCGAAGGCGCTCGGCGAGGGCGCGCGGCGCTAGAACGCGTCGGCGAGGGCGTGCGGCGCTAGCGCGCGTCGGCGAGGGCGCACGGCGCTAGCGCCCGCTAAAGGCGCAAGGCTAGGGGGCGCGCTGCGCGGTGTTGGGGCGCAAGGCCGGCGGGCGCGCGCAGCGGCAAGGGCGTGCGCGGCATTGCAGCGCAAGGCCTGGGCGTCCGAGGTCGCGTTTGCGCGTGGTAGCCTCGAACGAGTTGTCTCGTCGCGAGGTGGTAGGGCCGAGCATTTTGAGACATGTTTCACCACAATTTAGTTGAAGCGCGAGAGTTGTCACACGGGTAAGTAGTAACTGGGGAGTTGTATCGCCCAGATGTTATATCGACTCGAGAGTTGTCTTGAGGCTAAATATTATTGTCGGGGAAGTTGTCCCGCTGCGACGTGGTAACGACTCAAGAGCTGTCTCGAGGCTAAGTGTAGGCGTCGGGGGAGTTGTCCCGCTGCGACGTAGTAGCGACTCGAGAGTTTTCTCGTGGCTATAAGGCATCTCATGTACTTGAAGTAGGACATCCGATGTAGTTGAAGTAGGACATCTGATGTACTCGAAGTATGACATCAGATGTAGTTGACATCTGATGTACCTGAGGTATGACATCAGATGTAGCTGAAGTATGACATCTGATGTATCTGAGGTATGACATCAGATGTAGTTGAAGTAGGACATCTGATGTACTCGAAGTATGACATCAGATGTAGTTGACATCTGATGTATCTGAGGTATGACATCAGATGTAGCTGAAGTATGACATCTGATGTACCTGAGGTATGACATCAGATGTAGTTGAAGTAGGACATTTGATGTACTCGAAGTATGACATCAGATGTAGTTGACATCTGATGTACCTGAGGTATGACAGCAGATGTAGCTGAAGTAGGACATCTGATGTACCTTAGGTATGACATCAGATGTGGTTGAAGTAGGACATCTGATGTACTCGAAGTATGACATCAGATGTAGTTGACATCTGATGTACCTGAGGTATGACATCTGATGTACCTTAGGTATGACATCAGATGTGGTTGAAGTAGGACATCTGATGTACTCGAAGTATGACATCAGATGTAGTTGACATCTGATGTACCTGAGGTATGACAGCAGATGTAGCTGAAGTAGGACATCTGATGTACCTTAGGTATGACATCAGATGTAGTTGAAGTAGGACATCTGATGTACTCGAAGTATGACATCAGATGTAGTTGACATTTGATGTACCTGAGGTATGACAGCAGATGTAGCTGAAGCATGACATCTGATGTACCTTAGGTATGACATCAGATGTAGTTGAAGTAGGACATCTGATGTACTCGAAGTATGACATCTGATGTAGCTGAAGCATGACATCTGATGTACCTGAGGTATGACAGCAGATGTAGCTGAAGCATGACATCTGATGTAAGCCCCCAGGGAGTCGATAACCCTTGGCGAGCGAAATGTTTTGGGGGCACTGTATACCCCCAGGGAGTTGATAACCCTTGGCGAGCGAAATATTTTGGGGGCAGATGTAAGCCCCCAGGGAGTCGATGGCGGTGGTGCCATAGGTGGCTCCACATGTGGAGCAGGTGCTGGTATCGCGTTGGGAGCATTTGCTCCCATCGTGGCGCTATATTTGGTCTCGGCCTCTGTGGCAGCGCGAGTTGAAGCTTCTGCTATCATGCGTTGAAGCGCATCCTCGGTTATTTGAACCATTCGAGGAGCAGGGAGTGGTGGATCGGCGAGTGGTGGGTCCCGAGGGGGGATCACCTGAACCTCGCGAGGCGGATCCATGGGATGTGGAGGAGGTGGCAAGCCAGAGCCTCCACAAGGTGGGAGGTCGTTAGCTGTGTCATTTTCTCTCCGAGCAGACGCCTCAGGAGGATCTTGTTGGCTACGTGATCTGGTTTGCATCGTTCCCACAGACGGCGCCAAAATGATGATGCTAATTACTAGCTCACCTAGGGTGGTGTAGAAAACGAACTGGGAGAGCAAAGCGGATCAGTAGCTTGACAACTTGATGATCCTGAGGTACCTGCCAGATGAACACACGTGAACTAAGCCGGGGGTTGATCCGGCGGAAACCCCTCCGACGCTCAAGTCAGACGTGCTGATCATAGAAATAGTCCAGAGAATACGCGTTTTTGTATTGCTCAGTTAATAGGACGTACCTTAATAAAATGAGTAAAACCTCTATTTATATGTCGTTTATTGGGTTGGGTTTGCTTTGTTGGGCCCAAACCTTACTTGAAGGTGTTTGGGCCTCGGTGATATTAGTCTTCGATATTGGGCTCGTAGCCCAGTAGGTAAAGAAATTGTAGGCCCATTGGGTTGGCCCAATTAGGCATATCAGACGGTTTACAAGATAATGCAAACAGGATTTAACTATGCATGAACCAGTCTAGATAACTCTTGCACCAAGCTAAAACATCACCCATTCTCATAATCTCCTCACCCCGAATTTTACTTATTATTAATCTCCCAAATTTTCCACATAATAATGATTGCTAAATTGTAAGAATCTTAATCCAGGTGTTGGTGCAGCGTACATATCCATTGACATATGGATAGAGGTCGTTTAGCCGGAATTTGATTGAGAGGATAACAGTTCCAAATCTCATGAGCTCCTCGGCATTCCATCATCACATGGCTCGATTCGACCTTAACCCTCCATTTTCCATAATTATATCAACATCCCTGCAGTTTGTAGATTTCTTACACTAACAGCCTTTTAACAATGGGTAGATGCAAAAAATTAACAAACTTCAGGGGACTGGAAGTAATTTCTAACACAAGAGGGGTTTATTTTGTAATTACATCTTACCTCAAGGAGGTGGGTGTAATATATCCAAAAAAAAGAAAAATATCTGAGCGAGTAGTGTAGAAGAAGAGGCGAAAAACTTGTTCTTCCTCCACCATTCGTCAAAATGCATGCGTCAGCAAATCTTCTCCTCCACACCCCTTCCTCAATCATCCCACCCAAAACGACGACGTTTTCCGCCAGCAGCAACATCATCAGCCAATCTCCGCCGCCGGCGAAGCCAACAATCGTTAGAAGAGGCAAATTATCAGTATGCAGAGCTTCGTGGTCGTCGCAGCAGTACTCTCCCATGGCGGAATTCAACCTGTACGAACTTCTCGGCATCGACGCTTCCTCCGACAAGGCGCAGATCAAAGAGGCGTACAGGTCGCTGCAGAAGCGGTGCCACCCCGACATCGCCGGACCCTCCGGCCACGATATGGCGATCGTTCTCAACGAGGCGTACGCTCTTCTCTCTGACCCCACTTCCCGCTTGGCTTATGATAAGGTCTGCTAAAAACACCATCTTTTTTTTTTTTTTTTGAAATCCAGATGATTTTTTTGATTTAATTGCCCTAATTAAATTGATGTTCGTGAATTATGAATTCCTCCGAGCTCACGTGTTCCTTTGATTTTGGGCGATTTTGAATTTTGAGTTTATTGCATTTAGACCCACATGTTATACCAAATTGCTAAAAAGCCCCTCGTGTTATGAATATTGGCAAACAACTACGTATGATGATTTTTTAGCACACAACTCCCTAAATGGGACGTTTTAAGGGGTAATTTGCTAATAAAATTGAAGGGTAAATTATAACTACCCTGCGGTATGGTTAAATTACGAAAACCCCCTTCTGTTTGGGTAATTACAACTACTCCCAACTATAAATTTTCTTACACGGCCCCCTTACGGTGTCAAATTTAGTGGAAATCTTCTAGATTATACGAAATATTCTATACGAAATATTCTCAATTGTGTACGCGTTTTATCCCATTCGAGCTCCACATTTTGAAGCAAGATTATCATAAGATGTGTTTTTTGGCTTGTATATATTAGATTGTGGTGCATCAGAAACGCATTTTCGCACAAAACGAGTACAGATTAGAGAATATTCCACGTAATCTAGAAGATTACGTTTTGACACCATAAGGGTGGTCGTGTAGTTTAGGGGTAGTTGTAATTATCCAAACATGAGGATTTTTTTTGTAATTTGACCATGCCTTATGGGTGGTTGTAATTTACCCAAAATTGAATCATAAAGGGGGTTTTGCTAATATTCATAACACGAGGGGTGTTTGGCTAAGCTTATAAGATGTTAAAATGAGCTTATAAGATGTTTAAGAGCTTATAAGTTCTTCCAAAGTGTTTGCTAATTTTTTAAGGAAAGATCTTATTTTTTTTTAAAATAAGCTGTTTGAGAGCAAATAAGATCTTTTACCAAACATCTATTTACAACTTAAAAGCTCTTAAACATCTTATAAGATGTTTTTAGAAGTTTATAAGCTTAGCCAAACAGGCTCTTAAGCTCTTATAATAGCTTATAAGATTATTATCCAAGCACTTTAAAAATTAATTCTAAAATTAAGATATAACAGTTTATCAGTTCTTAAAACATCTTATCAGACGTAACAGCTTATCAGCTGTTTAAAATAAACTTAGCCAAACGAGCCCGAGATCTTTTTAGCAATTAGAGTGCACATTTTAAATTTTTGGGTAGTTCTTGACTTTCTTGTGATCATCACATTGCAAAATCCATGAACTTAATTGTAGAAAGAAGAGGTATTATAGTATCAAAAGTTCCTTGATTTCAAATTTTTCGACTTTAGTATGATGTACCAATATATGTCAAATGTCTTCATAGTGGAGTTCTTGAAATAGAGAAAATTATTTCATTTTTCATATTCAATATTCTTACGCAATAAATCGAAAATCAATGATTTAGGAGCTAGCGAAAATCACGGATATGCAAGGATACACAGGCAAGCCAATATATTCATCGTGGTTCGGATCGGAGAGTGAGGAAAGGGCTGTCTTTGTAGATGAAGTCAAGTGTATAGGCTGCTTAAAATGCGCCTTATTGGCCGAAAACACATTTGCAGTCGAATCGGTATACGGTAGAGCACGAGTTGTATCTCAATGGGCTGATTCCGAAAACAAAATTCAAGAAGCCATCGGTGCATGTCCGGTCGATTGCATCTCGTAAATCTACATTTACCATCTTTTATAATTGAAAAGTTTTCTTTTTTTTTTATTTTTTATTTTGGTTTCTTGAATTTATGTTCTAATTTCGAATGAAAGGATTGTGGAGCGGTCCAATTTGGCTGCCCTTGAGTTTGTAATGTCTAAGCAGCCACGAGGGAAAGTCAGAATCGGTGCGAGCAATACAGCTGGCGAACGGACATTGGATATTTTCGACGAGGTCGAGAAATTCCAGGCTAGATATGATAAGCACAAAGCTTCTACAAAATTTTCAAAGGTTATTTCTCTGCCCTAATCTCAACATTAAAGATTAGTCCACTAATGGAATTGGTTTTTTGGGTTTATTGCATTTAGCACCCCTGTGTTTACTCTAATTGTTAAAAAACTCCTCAATGTTATAAATATTAGCAAAAACCCCTATGATTCTTTTTTTTTAGCAAATTGCCCCCCTAAAAACCCACAATTTAGGGGTCGTGTGCTAAAAAAATGCATCATAGGGGTTCTTCTGCTAATATACATAACCCGAGGAGTTTTTTAGCAATTTGATATAACACAGGGGTACTAAATGCAATAAACTCTAGTTTTCTAATAATCGTATATATATTTGTTTAATTTGGTGAGTTTGATTGAATATCATTCTTATATGTTGCCATAAAAATAAATACTCCAATTTTTTGAAGGAATCGGACGATTACAGAGCATCGAAACTCTCGGCTATTCAAGCGATTCAAATGATATCAAATTGGTTATATTGGCAATCTCCGATCGCAAATGCTAATTCTCCAGCTACGCAAAGCTCGCAACCAAGAAAACAGTTTGGTCCGAATATCAAGAAGCTAAAAGCTGCAGCTGAAGCTAGAAAACAAGCACCTACTACTAAAGTACTGCCCAAAGAATCGGACGAATACTGGACGCCCTTAGCTGTGGTTCCACCGGAGGCTACCACACCAGATTCTAGCCCCAAAGACTCGATTAGTTATTCCAGGAAAAGGGTCCGTAATAATAATAATAATAATAATAATAATGATGAATTACTGATCAGGCGGAAGGTGGATTCGAACAGCCCTTTCCGGTGGGGTGTGCCGATCGGGACAGCACTTGTGGCTGTGATAGTTGTTCGGTCACAGCTGGGTGAGCATGTGGCTGATGTAAAAGACCACGCTGGCGGTTCCCTTTTGCTGACGATTGTTAATAGTTCGTGGCTGCAGTGTGTTTTAGCGGGTGTTACGTGGTACATCATTGGTATTTTCGTGGTGGAATTAGTTGAAACACTTAGAAGAAAATGAAGGGATTTATAGTAAATAATATATATACATACTCAAAGAAAATTATCTATTATTCATGTGTACCTATTTTTTTTTAGCATAAATGTATGTAAATAAAGTACAATGTTTTGTAACCATCACAATTACCTTTCATTGGACTTCTTTTACTTTTTTTTTTTCCTTTCTAATTATTATTGTTCTTGTTTTTAGATGTTTTGTTTGTAATTACCATCACAATAAAAAGATTCCATTAAAGTTTATACATGGTAAAGAGACAATGTTTTATCACTCTCTAATAAAATTTTAAATATTATTTTCTTTGGAACAATCGAATAAGTAATTAAACATAATTTTAAATACGACTAACAATTCGTCCCCGGGAACCGATATCGAACAACAAAATTGACTTCCGCCATTAAAGTACTAATGGTGTAACTATACTTGATAATTACACAAAGAAAAAAGAGAAGAAAAAAAAAATCATAACAAAAACCTATTGTCACAACCTCAACTGAAAAAGAAGCGAATCGGTTATATAAAACATATCTAGCTCGTCACAATTAGTTTACGAACAATTCTAAGAAAATAATCTCTGCATCTACGAAAAAAAATAGATAAGGATAATCTGAATACGCTAAGCAAGAGTATACATATACTATTTCCGATAACTGCAAAATTTGTTAGGTCGCCTTGTTGTTAAATCATCGTCCTCTGCTGCTCCCGGTTGTTAGGATATAAATAAAATGACTATTTACTATATATGCAAAATCTGTCAAATTTGTTATTTCTAGTTAAAACATATATATTACATGAAATAAGAGTGCTTAATATTATAGATATCTGCAAGAAAGGGAAAAAGTACCAGTTTTCAAATGCCGATTTCCGAAGCTTTCTCTACACCATTTGAATTATAAGGTGCGATTTTATGAATTGCCTGCTTATCAGCACCAACTCCCTCGAGTAATTCATTTTCGATGCATTCGTACCTGCAATTTATCGTGTTTGCGCATTTAGCTGAAAGACAAACTAAACTGAAACATTTATTACAATTTAAATGAATAAATATTATTCGTCGGACTCATATTCTCATGTTATTTTATGGGCAAACAACTTTCTATGATTCATTTTTTTCTCAGCGAACGACCCTAAAAACTCACAATTTAGGTGGTTGTGTGCAAAAATAGAAAATGCACTATATATGTATTTTTGCTAATAAAATAACGTGAGGATTTCTTTAGCAATTCGATATAACACACAGGTACTAAATGCAATAAACTCCCTATTAATCAGTTCGTAGTACGGTAGAACCTCGATAAATTAATAAACTCGATTAAATAATAGTTTCTCTCGGTCCCGACTCGGTGAAAACGTGTTAAATTATTAACTCGTTAATTTAATAATTCGCTAAATTAATAGAATTTCTCTGGTCCCAACTGTATTAATTTATAGAGGTTTAACTGTAAAATTTAATCCAATTAACTAACCTACCCACATTTAAACAAATTAATACAGTTGCCAGTTGGTACCAGGGAAATTCTATTAATTTAGCGAATTATTAAATTATCGAGTTAATAATTTAACACGTTTTCGCGGAGTCGGGACTGAGAGAAACTATTATTTAATCGAGGTTATTGATTTATCGAGGTTCTACTGTACAAGTCACCACATGCTTAACAACTTAACGTCGAAATAATTAAAAAAAAAAAAGAAAAAAAAAACTTACAGTTTTTTGCAAAGGACGTCAACAGTTGAACCGAGATTGACGGCTTTAAGTCTTGCTTCCAAAACATCTTCGTCATCGTATTCGTCAAAAGGATCTTCCAAAGCCATCGACAGTCTTTCAACATTCGTCTCGAGTTGTTGTTGTTGATTCTCAAACAGATTCTGATTTATCGTCCTTTCGTCTGAGGTCATCTGAAATAGCTCATCGCCAAACATATAGTAAGCAAACGGGTAACTGTTGCACAGAATCTGCCGCGATCTCGTGAGCCTAGACGATGCTTCTGAGACCCAAAAATAATACTTAGATTCCAATTTTCTGGATTCTAAAGCGCTAATCTTCTTCTGTAATTCCTCTCTGCCGTTTTTCTCGGCCTTCAAAGAATCCATGTGGGCTTTGTAGCGTTGGTAATAGTGAGTGTAGCGCCACAGTGAGTTTCTTGCAGACTCGGTTTCCTTAACTTGTTTCTCTGAATACCGCCCACACTCGTGGCCTTCGATGCTTGTCCAAGTGTGCTTTGTACCAGTAGCCCCACCACATAACCAACTGCATTGCACCAAGAAAAAGAAATAATAAATAAATACGGGTAAATTACAACCACCCCTGAAAAATGGTCAAATTATAAAAACCCCCCTCTTGTTTGGGTAATTACAACCAACCATCAACTATAAATCTTCTTACACGTCCACCCTTGCGGTTTCAAATTTAGTGGAATCTTCTAGATTATGTGGAATATTCTCAATTTTGGACCCGTTTTATCCCATTCGAGCTCCACATTTTGAAGCTAGACGATCGATCATAAGATGTGAGTGACTCTTGGCTTGTATATATCAGATTGTGGTGCATCAGAAACTGTATTTTTTCACAAAACAATTACAAACTAGAGAACATTCCACGGAATCTAGATGATTATGTTGAATTTGACACCATAAGGGTGGAGATGTAAGAAGATTTATAGTTGAGGGAGGTATATGTAATTATCCAAACAAGAGCGTTTTTTTCGTAATTTGACCATACCTATCGAGCCCGATATACAGATGGAGTTATTCTTCAAAGTAATTAGATTTATGACAAAAGTATTTACAATAGAAAGAGAAAGCACTCACCAAAAGGCTTGTTTACAAACACAGTAGACCAGATTACACCCTCCGTTTTTCTCCACTGGCTTATGACATTTGGGGCAGAATTTCGTGTTCACTTGCATCCAATTAACAGTCTCCGATTCGTCGCTGCATTTTCTCGTCCAAGACTCCCACATCTTACACGAACAAGGCGAGTGTGCTTCAGACGAACAGCCAAAACAAAACTGCAGGCCGCAAGCACATTCGACCTCGCAAATCTCGTCCTTGTCAGCTCGGATGGCGTTCCCGCAGTGAGGAACGCTGGGGCACCACTGCACCGACTTATTATCCTCGATGTAAGATTCCAAGAGGACTCGATCGAACTTCTGCGCCAATTGTGGGTCCCGCGCACTCAACAGGTTCCTGATGCTTCCTTCGTCGCAGATTGTGTAGCACTTGTCCGCCATGCACGTGATTCGCCTGCTCTGCCCCTCGTTGGTTTTCACTATAAAGTGCTCCGTCCAACCTAAACCGAAAAAAACAATCGGATAAGACAACTTTGTATAAGGATTCACCATCTTAACCGAAGACGTAGACATGAAAAATACTAGGTTTTGGCATAAAGTTCAGAGCAACATTAAAATATAATATAAGCAACATTAGCAAGTAATAATTTGACACATTGAAAACAAAGCAATCCGATCCAAACAAGGCCTTAATGAATAAGACGACTCATACAATACAGAGTGCACAATTATTAGTTAAATAGTTATAATTTTGGCTTCAAGTTCGAAGTGCATATAAAGTATGAGGTTCTTACACTCGTCGCAGAAACAATGGCCACAGTCCATGGTTGTCATCTTGTCAGCATGAAATTCGTCGAAGCAAATCAGACATGTTCTTTCCGTAGAACAGTGAGACGAACTTATGTTACCGCCTTCAATAGCCAACACTCCAGCTTCTGCGTACAGCTGTTCTTTCCCCTTCTCGACGAAAACCGTGCAGACCTTATCAACATCCCACCGGTAATGAATAAGCAAAGTCCGCGCGTGGTGTTCCTTTACCGAAAGAAAGTTCATCACTCTTTGCACGTCGCCCTTCTGCAGAATTCACACCCGATTTTTTTACACATTAGTTAATAATAGCAATGGAATTATAAAAAATAAAAAATAAAAAAATTAATCGAACGAACAAACCTGCGCGGCCAAAAGCGACTCCTTTCTGATTACCTACAAAACCACGAAATACATTCATCAAATTCACCGTTGTTTCATCCGTCCGAACTACGAAATTTCGTCATCTAAAAACCCGATTTTTATTTATTTATATAAAAACTGGGCTACAATAAGTCTGATTTATCTACACTAATATTCTTCGTATCAATCAATTATCGTTAAATAATAAATTCCAACAATTATTCTAATTTCTAGGTAATGATCACAAATTAGCAACTTCAATAAAAAAAAAAAAAAAAAAAAAAAACCGAGAATTAATTCTGTATGTATGTACCTTGCAACAGCCGCCATTGGAGAGAGAAAATTGACAGTCACCATCAACTTCCGCAAACGATTGGGCACCTTCGTCTTCATCAACTCGATCATCAAATTCTTCATCATCGCTGCAAAACCCGTAATCGTAATCATCCTCCTCCATTGATTAACCAAAAAATAATAATTATAATAAATAATCTCCTTTTGATCTCTGCTAGTAAATAGAGAGAGAGAGAGAAGGGAGAAATTGGAGAAAGGGGTTTTGTGCTTTACGATTGGGGTTTACGCTGATTTAGCTCAACGAAATTGCTTTATATAGTTTCGTGTTTGATTGTACTAAGTCTAATATACCAAGGAGTTTCTGTTTCCTTTTATTTCTTTATTTTATTTTATTTATTTTTTGAGAAAACCAAGGAGTTTTAGTTTGGTAATTATTAATGCATACATGGTTTGGTTTTAGAGTATTTTGTATTGTAAAGAAATATTTTTTTTTTTAATTGTACATGATTTTATGTTCTTCTTTTATTAGTTTGCAAACTGCAAATATAAATCATACTAGATTAACCATGTCGACAAATTCGAGCTGAAAAGTGTTGGCCGTTGTATTTTGTATGGTAAGTACCTAATTCATTAATTGGTTTATTTAATTTTTAGACTTGCCTTCGGTTATAAACTTTAAGAGAATTGTTTCTTTTCGTATTAATGTCTTCGGTTAAATCTTAAAAATAAAAGTATTCAAAATAAAAACGAGAAAACACAAGGGTTTTTTCACACGAAGACACTTTCTCTTTTTTGTTAAAGTTCCATCGATTAAGAAGCCAAATAGCACCATCCGAAAACGGTCTACCACCCGGAGCAACTCGATGTTGGTCGCGGAATAATGGTCGACCGCAATTTGCAGACTAATATCTTCGAATTAAGGGTTTATTTGAAAGCATAACTATTAACTAAAAAACATGCACATTGTAATTTGCTAATTGAACTCTTTGTTCAAGAACTTAATTATCTGAAAATCATGTAGGTTGTACTTAGTGACTTTGTTTTGAATAGGGGTGGTAAATGAGTTGAGCAGGCTCATAAACTCAATGAGCCGACTCGACAAAAGTTCGAGCTCGAGCTCGAGTCAGAAAATCTCAATCCGCCAAGCTCGAGCTCGAGTACAAATAGTCAATAGTCGAGCTTGAGCCTTCCAAAACAGGCTCGCTTGGCACGTTCACACCCCTATTTTTGAATCGAGTGAGTTAAAAGTTCAAAAATAATACCCTTCCAGTAAATATGATTTTGTTACGGAGTAGTTTTATCATTTTTTTTATTTTTTTCCTATAAAAAAAAAAATCAATTTTTTTTGCGTATATATACATATATACTATGGATTAGATGCAATGCATTACTTTGCAATAAATGAATAATGCACATAATCTGCAGTAATCGATATACGACAACAACTATTTGCAGCATTCATGTTAACAGACACAAGCTCCGGAGATCGAGTTCGATGAGTTACATAAGCTTGGTAAACGAACCACGGTTATAATAAACATTCAATGTATCGCAACAAAAAATTGAAGCACAAGAATTCGATTCCCATTAACAGTAACAAAAAGAAAATCTACACAAGTCATCCGAAATAAGATACTCGATAAAAACTCCACCTTTACCACAGTTTGAGGACGATTCGAAATTCCAACCCTGAGAAAAGCCAAATCAAGAAAGTCACAAAACAATATCCGCGATTACCAAAAAAAAAAGCACAAGATACGATGCCAAAATTACGAATATAACCTCAACGCTTGGAGTACTGAGGGCGCTTTCTAGCTTTCCTCAATCCAGGCTTCTTCCTCTCGACCACTCTCGAGTCTCTAGTGAGAAGACCCTCCTGCTTCAATGGTGATCTATGGCTGTCACTCACTTTCAGCAATGCCCGAGCAATGCCGAGTGAAATTGCTTGGGCCTGCCCAGAAAGCCCGCCACCATGTGCCTTCACAAATACGTCGTAGCTACTTTCATAGCCTAGAGTCACGAGTGGAGTCTTGACGTATTGTAGCCATAGAGGGTTGCCTTGAAGGTATTCCTACAAACATTATCATCAAGTAAATTTAACATGATAAAAAAAAACGAGGGAAACGAAATAGTTTCTCGTATTACATTCCACTCTATGTTCGATTTAAATCGAATCACGTTCACTTGGATTCACAAAATGGTTTCTCTATAAAAATAAATGCTGATTCCTCATGGAAAAAAATTTATCGGAAAGACGAGTTTTGTCTATCTGACCAAGAATGGATCCTAATCCGAGTTTTGTGTCGAGTGGAGAATGCAATTTAACATAGATAAATTCACTTCCATCTCCATGTAACAGGAGTTGTTCTCGATCTTAACCAACATCCCTAATCGTATCCACATATTCACATGTTCTTTTCCATACGAACTAGCATAAGAAATCGTCAGATTTTGCAGGTGTTTACTGGTACTACTCGAACTTGTTCGTGTGGTGGAAAAATTAAAAATAAAAACGATATTTTTTTCGTGTAAAATTCATGCATCTCTTTGGCAAGACAACACCTCAAGGTACACATAACTTCTACAATTGAATCCAAATCCACACACATTTTACATTTTACATACTATAAAACGATTCCCTCTCAAACTTTCAGAAAAATTAATCAAATTTTCAAAAAAATAAAAAATTAGGTACACATAAAAGCTAATTCTCAATACAAATCGGTATAATTAACGAAAAATCGGGGTAATAATCGAAATCCGGAGCGCGAATTACCTTAGCATCACGGTAATTGATGATGACTTTTCCGGAACCTTCCTGAAGAACAACCCTAGCGATGGCGCATTTTCTGCGGCCGGTGCCGATTATGGTCTGCGCGGCAAATCCACCTGGAAGCCTAGTTTTCACCAGCTTCTTCAAGTCCACGGTTTCGACCTCCGATTCAGCGACGGCGGCGGAGGCGGCGACGGCGAGTGCGGGGAATTTGGGGGCGGCGGTGGATTTTAAGGAGAGGGGCTTTAGTAGAGGAAAGGGGACGGAGTGGGCTGGTTTGTGGGAGATTTGGGAGGAGAATGAGAGAGAAGATAAGGATGAGGTGAGAGAAGAGAGAGAAGTAGCCATCGCCATGGATGGAGAGAGTTTGTGCTGCTTCGGAAATGAGTAATGGGGGAGGGAGAGCTGAAGTTTGTAGTGATAACAGATAACGTGACTCAATTACGAATATGCCCCTGCGTATTTTGCAATAAGATAATTTTAAGATTTGATTTTTTATATTTCAAGAAATTATTTTGAGATTTAAGTAATATTTAATAGTCTTCGTATATTTTTTTTTTCCGTGGGCCAGGGAATCGATTAGGCCCAAATCCATACCACTGCTTCGTAAGGGTGGAAATCGGATGGAACGGATTGGATATAACTTTTTTGAAATTTTTTGATTTTTTTCGGAAAATAAAAAATGGGTTCCGATTTTTGTTTCAAAAAAATTGGAATTCAAAAGTTCATTCCGATTTCGGAATGGCTCGAAATCGGCAGAATTTTGGAAATTGCATTAATTTATAATTTCTCGTACCAAATTATAATATAATGAGACTTTTCGTTAAATAAATCAATTTTTTTCGAATTTTTCCAACAAAATACAATAAAATTTAAAGAGAGTTCAACAAAATGCAATAAAACCAAAATGCAACACAAATTTTCTAAAAAATGCAACTAAAATCGGACCGGAAATTGTAATTTCCGATAATTTTATCCAATTATGTTCCCAAAAAATCGGAAAACCCAGAAGTCGGAATTTTGGAAACCGGGGGATTTCCGATTTGATATTTTTCTTTTTGTCGAAATTGATGGAACTCGGAAATTCCATTCCGATTTCCACCCCTATGCTTGAGTCATATTTCAATTATTATTTTGGAAAAATATGTTTCCAAAGCAATATTTGAGAAATCAAGTAAATTATTTGGGTAAATTACAAACACCCCCCTGAGGTATGGTCAAATTACAAAAAAACCCCTCTTGTTTGGATAATTACATCTACCCCCCTCAATTATGATTTTTTCTTACACCTCCACCCTTATGGTGCCAAATTCAACATAATCATCTAGATTCCGTGAAATTTGCTCTAGTTTGTACTCGTTTTGTGTAAAAATACAGTTTCCGATGCACCAAAAACTGATATATACAAACTAAAAATCACATATTATGATCATCTTGCTTCATAATGTAGAGTTTGAATAAGATGAAACAGGTACAAAAGTGATAATATTCCATATAATCTCGAAGATTTCACTAAATTTGAGGAGTTAAGGGGGTGGTTGTAATTATCCAAACAAGAGGGGTGTTTTTATAATATGACCATACCTCAAGGGGGTGTTTGTAATTTACCCAAATTATTTTGATATATTGAGATGAGACACTTTATATTGTACAAGTCCAGTCGTGTTAGCAAATATTGAAAGAAGCCTATTTTAAAAGAATAATTCGAAAATTAAAATATTATTTATTCATATCACAGTGAAGACATTTATTACTGAAACAATCGAAAATTGATTGAAATGCAGCACAGTTGTTTTCTAGGAGAAAAGATATATTGATGCAAATAATAATATACACGTATGATCAACTTTAATACTCCAAATCTCAATACAATTTGATTACATAATTCTTTCTTTCTTTCTTTCAACCAAACCTGTATTAAAATTTTAAATCTCAGCCAATTTTTTTTTTTTTTTTTAATTACTGAAAATGGCATAAATAAGCAAAAAAAGAAAATTGATATACACAGCCGGTTCCCATCTCTTTCATTTTTCATTCGTGTCGAAATCAATCAGTGACTCGCAATTGCTCCACCCCATCGTCTAACACGGCTTTCGGCTTCATCGGCCTGCAAATACGGAAAAAAAACGTGTTACCAAATTTTACCATAAAAACAAATCAACATCACTTTAATCCCAAATCGAACAAGTTAACAAAAAAAAAATTGGTACATATATATATATATACATACAGTTACGTATAAAATTACCTCTTTGTCCCAATTTCGACTTGAAGTAATGAATATCAAGATAAGGGTTTGCAAGCAAACTCCTCCAATCATTCCACCCCAAATTCCCTGCACATCAATAAACTAACTTACATCTAAATTCGAATTTTAAATAAATTCAATATCTCGTATTCGAACATATTTTAAATTTTTTTATTACCATAGCGCCAAAATTAAATACGAAACCCAAAACTATGCCAAGTGGCAGTCCCACGATGTAATAGCTTCCGATGTTGACGTACGCCACAATCGATTGCCATCCAGCTCCAACAGCAACCCCTAAACTTTTCGAAAAAAATAAAATGAAATATAACCAAAGTATATATATCTGGAAAACCACAAAAAAAATCCGTTAAAAAAACTCTCTTACCATAACATAATAGCAGAGGACAAAGAAAGCTTGACAAATCCATACAAATCCCGAAAAGCCGACCACGAGAAACCAGTCCACGCACCGTCGGATTTCGTATAAAAAATATAAACCAACTGCAAAATCACAATCAGCCACCACGAGGAGTTGAGAACCACCGCCGCTCCGGCCAATCCCCACCGGAGTTTCAAGATCAGAAGCCAGCTAAAGAATGTATGCACAACAAGCACACCCGCCGATATCCAAGCCATCTCCATTAATTTCCTCTGCGATTGCAAGAATTTTTGTATCGGAAAATTCACAGCGTACGCAAACATCTGCGGTATCATCCAAATCGCAAATTTACCTACACAAAAAAAAAAGTTCAATTTTAATTTTAATAGGAAGCATTAAAATATGTATTTTTTGATTATTAATACTAACCGGCGGCTCGAGAAATCTCGGGAGATTCGCCGAAGAAGGTGAGGATCGGAGGGGCAAAGATGTAAATAGGGAGCAAGAAGAAGGATGTGGAGAGCAAGATAACCCATGATCTTTGCATGTATGTACCCAACATTGTGATTTGCCCTGCACCATATGCTTGTCCACATAAAGTCTCTAATGCACTTCCCATTCCCAGCTGCAATTATTTTTTCAAATTCGATTTATCGAATAACTTTTAAAAAAAAATCGAAAAATTCTAGGGCAAATTACGGCCACCCTCTGAGGTATGGCCAAATTACAAAAAAAACCCTCTTGTTTGGGTAATTACAGCCTCAAAATTTATGTAATTCGGTTATTCACCGAACCAAATCGTATATTCAGTTCGGTAAACGGTATGAAATGTTGGCGTACCGAAATTTCGGCTCGGTTTTACCGAATTAACATCCCAAAATTTACCTTTGGAGGGGTCTTTTCGTAAGATAATACATAGTTGAGGGGTGCCAGTAATTACCCAAACAAGAGGGGGTTTTCGTAATTTGATCACAACTCAGGGGGTTGGCAGTAATTTGCCCAAAAATTCTATGCCAAAGGTGTGACAAATCAGAAACACCAACCATTACATAGCAGAATTTCAGTTTCAGAGTAGATTGACACACAATCAGACACATAAATCACGTGTGTGTGTGTGTAAAAAGAGTAGGGTTAATTATTACACAGTATTAATTAAGTTCGCCATGTGTTTGAGAAAATTTCGGAAAGGATATGTTGGGGTTTTTAATAAAAATAATATATTTTATTATAAATTATAATAATGACTTTGACCACTTTTATGAGGGTCATTAGACCACTATTTTGAAACCTTCAAAGTCATTATTTTCCTACATAAAATACCATAATTTCTATATTAAATTGAGGTTTTATGGGGGTTATATTATATATTATATAAAGGGGATATTGTGGCTTTACATGGGGAAGTGTGAAGAGAAAAAGAAACACTTTTCTTCTATACTATATACTTATACTTTGAGCTTTTGTTGTGTGTCGGGTGTAAGCTTCTACTTCACTCGAACGTGCAATTTCGGTGAAGTTACACCAGAGAGATAGGCTGGGCTGTTGTATCCCATAGGCGACACGATCGGAACCTTTTTGCACCTCATTAGAGAAGGGGTCGTGAAATTCGTCTTAAGAGAGCGACCTAGTCCGCGCCTCACCTTGCCTATCTCCATATTATTGTGGTTGTTTATTGCAGCAACTTGTTACCTATAAATTAGAGAACAAATGGAGTCCAAGCCTGATCCACAAGTTTCGTGATCGATCGTCGAAGTGCAGCCGTGGTTCCAACAATTTAAGATGAAATTTTGATCCCATGAAGATGAGTTTTGACGATGATCCAAAACAGGCTCTTGATGATAAAAAGGGAGATGATAAATTATATTTTATTGTATTTTGATTTGACGAAAAAAAAAATTAACGATCTTATTTTTTGTATAGGTGAATTTTCGTACAATTCACGAGGGCAGACTTTGAGTCAAATTTCGGACCTGATATAATCATATTCTGAGAATGTGTAAAACACGAAAGTTGTAGGCATTTTTGTTGGCTGTTCGAAACATCTTGAATCACTGAAATCGGACATCGAACGAGAGAGATATGCTCAAAATACTGAATACTGCTGCAGCTGCCAAATTGTGCGCGTTTTTGAGGTATTGAAAGAATCGATAATTGAAAATTATCAAACTCTGGTATGTTCTTCGTTTATACATATTAAATATTGTTGGCACCAAATTTCCGTTAGTGAAGATTGAAGAAATCCGGCATATGTGGAAATTAAAGATTGGCAAAGATTTGTTTTCCATGTTTATTTTGGAATTAATTAGAGTCCTATTTTTGTAATATTGTTATTAGGACTTAGATTTATTTCCATGTATTGTATTCTAGTTAGGTATCTTTTGTATTTATCTAGAATAGAAGTAGAAATCGACTAGGATTCTATTACCTAGTTAATCGATTTCTTAGGGCTCAAGTTAGGTTAAGGGTGGTGGATTTCGTGCCTATATAAGGCCCTCAACCTCATATGAGTCCGATGGAGCTTTACAAAGAAAAATCCCAGCATAAAGGCTTTGAAGGGTGCAGCCCGTGCTGCAGCCCTGTCTGCACGGCAGGTGTGGCAACAGAACAGGTTTCTTCTACCAGGCCATAAAGAAGATCGGCGTTTCGGGAGAAGTGCTTAAAAGATCTCGGGAGAGGTCGATCCGCCGTTTGAAGGAAGTTCAACATTGGAGGAAGTCCAAGAGTGCGGAGGAGGAATTGCTTTGATTATCAACAAGTTCGAGTCGTGTGCAAGAACGGCGTATCACATAAAGAGGGAGTCTTTAGTGTTTTATTAAGTCCTATTAATGTACACATAAATCTGAACTAGTTTTGCAAGTCCTCGTGGATGTAGGGTACGTTTGTATCCGAACCACATTAAATTCTTGTGTTTTTTATTCTGCTTTTAGTAGGTTAATTACTGTGATAACACAAGAATACTGTTGCCACTCCTAATGTCGTAACACGTAGTCTGTCTCAACAGAAGAGTGGACTTTGATAGGCATTTAAATTCAACAAATATAATTTTTCTTGGCAATTAAATGATATAATAGCATGAAAATATTATTTCTAGAATGTGAAAATCAATATACTATCGTATAATTGTTGTTGTAGTCAATTTAGTGCATTTTATTATATGTATTATATTTGTAATTGTGTTTATAAGAGATATATTGATTTAACATCACCGTTGCATATAGAATATATTAATGATTTTTTGAGAATGATATTACTACTATTTGCTTAACAGCTAATAAATATTTTTTTCAAATTAATACATGAGTAATGAATTGGTTATGACGTGCTTAAATGCATTTACTCTGTTGAAGTTTTTTGATTAATGTTGATATATAGTGCATTAGAATTTGAATATAAAAATTGCGTGTTTTATAGCATATATTCAAATTCATTAAATAAATATTGAAACGTTTTGATTGTATTTATTTGCGCGAGGAACCGGTTACATATTCTAAAATTATTTAATCTTTGATACACTATTATGCCAATAATCTATGTGATTTAAATGATTGTGTATATTGAAGTCTAATTAGTAATTTAGTGGCAGAAATGACTAATGAGAATAAGGTTTTTAAATTGAGAAAATAACTTTGATAAATTATTTCTTTTTTAACATAATCCTTTTAAAATGTAAAGAGATTATGGCTATTGCCTCTATTTGAGAAATAAGCATGATTATAATTGGTATCTTAACTTTAATTCATGATTCATTAGGTGGAGTTAATATTGCATGTGATTAAATAAATTAAGAAATAATGGGTGCCTTAGTAATCACACCTAATTGAGAAAATGAGCATGATATATTATATCTTGAATTTAATTCATCATGTATGTGTTGAAACATTTGATGTGAATTAGTGGGGGTCTTAGAGAGCATGATCATATGATTAAACATTTTATGTATTGTTTTAATATTGATAAATAGTGGGGGTAGTAGTAATAAATTTTAATTGCAAAAAAAAAAATGAGTATGATCAGAGTCAATACATTCTATCTTGATTCATGATTCATTGGTATGTTTTTAGTATTGAAGAATAGTGGGGGTTTTTTAGTGTCTACTTATATGAGCATGTTTTAATTGATTTTAACGTGGTCTATGCTTAATTGCTCATTTTATGATCGCAAATTGTTTATAGTGATAATGTGATAAATTATGCTTTATTTGCAAATTGATTATACAAGTAACTATAATAGGCCTAAATTTGCATATATGTGACATTGATGTGATTTACAGAGGCCTAATTGTGATTATTAAATTTGCTGAAAATATACTAGCAAATATATTTGTGATTTGTGAAGTGAAACATTTTTCAAAGTTTTCAATATTGTTGAATTTTGAAAATCTAAAAGAGAGGAATTATATTCCAATTTTTCACCTAGTGTGAATGAGGTATATGCCGATAATTTTAAAATTGAAAATTCATATCAATTTTGATTAATTATTTTGACATTAGCCTGTGAAGAGGCCGGTTGATACCGAATGTGATATATAAAATCCTAATGTGTGATAAATCAAATGCTTTGTGCTTTGATTAATGAGATTGTGAAAAATCAATGATTTGTGCATTGATAGATCATACATGTGATTGAAAACTGCAGTTGGCAAAAGCGAAAATCTTTTAATGGGAGCCGGAACCATTAAAAGAAAATACAGTACTGTGAATATATGTGAAAATTCACGTGAAATCTATGAGATATTACATGTAAAATTATTTGAGAATGATTAATAAATCATTGAGTCTAAGAGACTAAATGTCAGATAAGCGCTGCTAAATTTGTGAAATTATATTTCATATTATTTCAGAAATCATCTGAAATGCATCGAGGGGGATTGGGTGAAAGCCTAATATATTTTGTAAAGTTGTTGATGAGGATACTACCGCCTAGGGGCTAGAGATCCTACGAACTAGGCGAAGAAAAACGAATCTGAAAGCAACTTGATAGTGATAAAAGTGCACACTTTTATTATCCATCTCTATGATGCGTGTGTACGAATAAAGCTCGTAACGAATTGTGAGGTTGAGACTTTGATCTCTTAATGAATTTCTATAGCCCGAATGGGTGGGGTGTTGGAGTTACGTAAACATCCTTGATAGAATTCACCTTGTGAGTGTGGAAGTGGGGCCGCTTCCTATGAGAATTATAGGCTATTCTCTAGAGCTCTCACGAGAAATGGGGTAAAGCACATGGCCGTTAATGTGCTGGCTTTAGAAGCTTCGATCGGGACACTTTGAGTATTATGTGTGCAATATGATTCTACGTGCCCCAAGGGTCACTGTTTGAAGGCTAAGTCCACTTTGATTCTAGTACGGGAAACATATTGTACTAAGTGAAGGTTTGAAGGCATTGTCCACTTTCATTATGCATAATATTCCGCAAGAGCTCAAGTATTAGTAATATTCTTATTTTTATTAAAATAGTGGGGGATTGTTGGGGTTTTTAATAAAAATAATATATTTTATTATAAATTATAATAATGACTTTGACCACTTTTATGAGGGTCATTAGACCACTATTTTGAAACCTTCAAAGTCATTATTTTCCTACATAAAATACCATAATTTCTATATTAAATTGAGGTTTTATGGGGGTTATATTATATATTATATAAAGGGGATATTGTGGCTTTACATGGGGAAGTGTGAAGAGAAAAAGAAACACTTTTCTTCTATACTATATACTTATACTTTGAGCTTTTGTTGTGTGTCGGGTGTAAGCTTCTACTTCACTCGAACGTGCAATTTCGGTGAAGTTACAGCAGAGAGATAGGCTGGGCTGTTGTATCCCATAGGCGACACGATCGGAACCTTTTTGCACCTCATTAGAGAAGGGGTCGTGAAATTCGTCTTAAGAGAGCGACCTAGTCCGCGCCTCACCTTGCCTATCTCCATATTATTGTGGTTGTTTATTGCAGCAACTTGTTACCTATAAATTAGAGAACAAATGGAGTCCAAGCCTGATCCACAAGTTTCGTGATCGATCGTCGAAGTGCAGCCGTAGTTCCAACAGGATATATATATAAAGGGGGAGAAGTAAAGATTGGATTTTTATTTTAATTTGTTACCATGGCGCCGAAGACAAGGCCGGCAATCACAGAGTTCTCGACGGAGACGGCGGCGAGCTCGAGCTCGCCGACTTGGCCGGCGAATGTCTGAGTGAGTGCGCCTAGAGAATACTGACAGATGTATGTGAATATCGCCGGTCCGGAGAGTTTCCACAGCGTCTTTGACTCTGCTCCGAACTCCTTCACGAAACCCTCTCCTCCGCCGCGGCGCTTCTCTAGAAGCGGCGCCCCTGCGCCGCCGAAGCCGTCCATGGCCGCCCGCCGGAACTCTCGAAAGCACCACCACCGGCGAGGAGAAGAAAGCTGACGGCAAATTATTTACTGGGAAATTGAACTTGTAATTGTACGGTTTATATTAAGTTGGTTTTTGGATTGATAAGCTCAAGTTGATTTTCTATATATATATATTAATATTAATATATATAATAAAAATAAAAAAATAATAAAAAAAAGCTCGAAGTTGATTAGGCACGGGTCAAATAGTACGAGAAATATATATATATATATATATATATATATATATATATATATATATATATATATATATAAACAAACTAATTATGGTTGAATAGACGTTACACCTGATTATTTACATTGGGTAAGTGTTAACCGTAAATCTGTATATAATCGCGCACACACACCCTATGCGTGTATCTACTTAGTAGATTGTTATTTAACATCCTTTATGGTTAATAATCACATCTAATTCATCAGCTAACCAATACTAATAAGTGCTATTCTATAGATGCTAGAATATTTTGGATGAGAACTTTTTATGGATGATGAAAGAAAAGGGTAAATTATAATTGACCATTGAGGTAAGGTCTATTTACGGAAAAAATCTCATATCTTATAATTTGTAATTTCTTGCATGAATACCCTTTTGTTTGCAGGGACATAAAAAATTGCAAGTTCTAGATGTAATTTCTCAAAAAAAATGTGTTTTTTGTAATTACACTTAACTTCCGGAAATGGAGGTAGTTATAATTTACACCGAAGAAAAAGACAAGCTGTCTGTCAGCACAAAATTAATTAATTGATAAAATAATACATATCAGAATTAAAGTAAAGTAATTGAATATTATTTGGCGATATACAAGTGAAAATTTTGTATAATGTCTTAAAAAAAATTTCACGGTCAAAATCGCTAAAAATTGTATGTTATAGTACATAAATTTTTGATAAAATTGGTGGATCGTCAAAAAAAGTTTTTCACAATCAAAATCACCAAAAACTATCTACTATAGTACACAGATTTTAGGTAAAATTGATGGAACGTCACAAAAACTTTGTCACGATCAAAATTACCAAAAATTGTAAGCTATAGTGCACAGATTTTGGATAAAATTGTAATCAGTTTTTGGTGATTTTGATCGTGAAAAAGTTTTTTGGACGTTCCATCAATTTTACCTAAAATCCGTGTGCATACAGTTTTTGGTGATTTTAATCGTGAAATAGTTTTTTGGACGTTTCACCAATTTAACCAAAATTTGTGTACCATAGTATACAATTTTTGGTGACTTTGATCGTGATTTTTTTTTTTTTTTGACCGTTCCATCAATTTACCCAAAATATGTGTACTATAGCATACAGTTTTAGGTGATTTTGATCGCGAACAAGTTTATGGTTTGAACTTTAAAAACTTCATCTAAATTAATATTTTTTTTAATAAGACTTAAACAATTTAATTAATAGTAAACTAGTGAACATTAACGGTGAACTTATGAAAATTGTATATTTAAACATTATATAGTAGTAAATATTCATGAAGCAAATATCATTTTACAATATAAATAAAGATAAGGGGATTTCAGTAATTTAGGCATACCTTTATTAGTTATTTATAATTTACACCAGGCAATAATATGCTCAGATAACTCCAATACATAAAGTGAAAGAAAAGAGAATCCACACCCATTCTTTCAACATCTCAACAAAAAGCTCATAAAACATTAAGACATCAACCAAATAAATAAACTGCAGTGTCATAACTTCTATTTCTTTAAATTTTCCGACAAAAACTTACGGGTCCAGATAAACTATCTCAGCAAACATGGAAGCTCGTCGAAATCGAAGCAACTCCTTAACCAACTCCCACCCACTATCCGTCGAAGCGGGCTTAACAGTCATCTTTTCAAGAACCGGAGTATTCAAAAGCAAGAAGTTGATGAAGTTCAGTTCTTGTTTTATTCCGGATATTCCAATAATTTTAATAAGCCTTAGCTGACTAAACGAAAAGCTCGGAAAATTCTCCACAATATTGGGAGCACCAAATGCAGTATTTTGTTCCTCCGTACGAGCCTGTATAAAGATTAAAGTATATGTCAATGTTTTTTCGTACAATAAAGTTTAATTTTCCTCACCAAAACCAAGAGTAATGTATCTGTAGGGGTGGAAATCGGACGAATCAGATCGGAATTAGCACTTTCGAAAAAAATCCATTTTTTTGTCAATTCTGTTTAAAGAAAAATCGGAAATCGGAAATCGGAATTTTGAAAATTGGAATGAAAAAAATTGTTGCAAAATTGCAAATCTTGGATTGAAATCGATGGAATCCTGAATCTCCAATATTTTAGTCACTTATAATATAAATTACATTACAATATTGACATCATAAGTGTAATTTTTGGAAATTAAAATCAGATCGGCAATTGGAATCAAATATGTATTCCAACGCCGTTCCAAAATAAATCGGAATCGGAACTTTATGAATTTGGGACGAAAAAACATTGTTCCGAAATTCGGAGTGAAAGAAACTTACCAAAAGCTCAAGCTCTTGAAGGTTTGGAGAACTTCGGAGAAGGCAAAGAGCAGCCATATTCTCTTCCATGTCGTTGAAATTAATCCGTATCGAAAGATAACTAAGATCAAGACAAGGTGTGGGTAGCTTCCCAGGTATAATTCCACAAGCCAAATACTGGAGACAAAACGAAAACAGATTTTAAATACTTAAACGATGATATGAATTTATAATTTTCACATTCGGGTTATTACGTAAAGGTTTCATAAGAACCAAATATACGTAACAAACTACTGTCAAAATCCCATAACTATGTTTTCAAGGACTTTGATTCTCTTTTCTTGTTCCATTACTACGGCATTACTTCGTTCGAAAAGCAACTCAAATTTCTCCTAGATTTTAAAATCAACAATTCTCACACTTAAAACATAATCTGACTGTTATACTAAAAAAATGACGAAAAATTACGTTTTTTTTTCTTCCTCCAATTCTTTAGACAATATCTCAATCTCAATCTCTATCTGCTAAACGTTATTTTCCCATCAAATCATTTTCCGATAAATCATACCTTCAAGAAAAAGCTCTGCACCTCAAGCCTCTGAATATGCGGCAAACAAGCGAAAAACTTGATGAGATTCCCCGTACCAAAACCAAGATTCCTCTCAATCCCATTATTAACATACAAACCAATCGACACAACAGCTAGATTGAATGTACCCACAAAACTCACGTCCTCAAAAACGCCCCCCACATCGAAGAAGAGAAGACTCGGCGCACGTATATTAAGAAGACCAAACCCTTCAAAGTTCATCAAAGTCAACCTCTCGAGCAAAGGACAGCTGGCAATAATCTTCTCAAACTCCGATTGGTCCATCGTGATATGCTGGAGATCAAGACTCTTCAAGCTCTTAAACCCGTTGAAATTCGATGGGGGTTTCAAAAGACAGTTAAAAAGCTCCAAATGGACCAATTTTTGGTACGAGTAGATCGAAGAGTGAAGCTTGTATCGGTGGCCTTTCCATATTTCTAGTATGAATTCTTTTACAGAACCCCTCGATAGATACAGAACCCATCTATCTATATCGCTAACACCTTGTAGGTCCCGATGGGAGAGCTTGAACTTGTGTATGGGGCCCGCGTGGAGTAATAGGACGTGGTCAACTATGTTGACTAGTTTGTTTTTCACGAGGGTTTGGTCTTGGGTGGAGACTAGTACGGATTGGTTATCGAACACGAGATGAGGAAGGGTGACCCATTTGTACCGCCACTTGTTCGATAGAATGCTTGATCGAACGGCGTCTCGTAGTGACAAATGCGACAATATTTTGTCTATGATGTGACCTGGTAAGTTGCTGATTATATCCACCTCGTTTTTCGAATTGTAAGGCACCTTAGTCGTTGGTTCTCTTTGCTTCTGTTAAAATAAACATGCATAGACGCCACAACAAATAAACGAATATAGCAAATGTATCGAATACAATAATCACCACAAATAAATATTCAAACTTACCATATTACTCGTGAAGGTTAAAACTTTGGCCTATATCTTTATCGGACGATTATGCAGGTGACGTCTGATTTAGTCATGTAACTTGTTCAAACTATTATAAGAAACGAAGAAGAAAGAGATCACCGTAAGGGAAAAAAACAGAAGGGAAAAGAATCATGCGCTAAATCCTCCGTTTGTTTATTACGGATACTAAATAACAGGTATACAATATGCAATACAAGAAATAGTACTTTCTAAAAGGACGAAGAACTTGTCTAATTTGTTTTGAATTGGACCGTAGAAGATATCATAAAATCCTATTAGAGTATATTAAGACAAGAACCGAAGCAGACAATGCATATCAGATACCCTACGAACCAATTACATAATAGATTAAGGCCTCGTTTGGTTGCCAAGATAAAATTAGTCAAAGATAATATTAAATAATCTAATGAAACTCAATTATATTATTAGACTTTCGATAATCCAATAAAAAAACATGCCTAGAACGCAAGATAAGCCATGATAACATAATATTTGAAGGGTCGATTAAACATCAAACAAAGTCCAATTATTTAGTTAATCATGGCTAATCTCCCTCCCCAACCAAACGAGGCCTAAGAAGGTCGTCTGATCCAAACCACGAACACGAAATACGGGTAGCATTTATCACAATAATATGGGCCAAATGCATTTCCGTATCATTCTAATACCTAATTCTAACCAATTAACGAAAAGCGGGGGGAAATATTTCTTAATTAATTCATAGGGGCCACGCCAGCATCAAGCAACTCTCTTAACAGCTTCTTAATCATCTATTGTTCATTAACATTTTTTTCGATTTTTCGTTGCATACTGTAACCAAAATTACAGGAACTAGGTTTTGTTTCATCAAACATCAAAATCCCAGAATACTTCTCAACCCTAATTAGGCATCATCGTTTCACTTCAAACAATTAAAAAAAAAAAGTAGTGTAAATTGCAGAAAGAATCTCCACTTTCGTAGAACACACAAATTTTTTTTGGAGAATCTCGTACGGCATAATTAAATTTAGCGGCGAATTCAATAAACAATTAAAAAAACCTAGCACTTACTGAAGAACAATTGGAATGTTGAAGAAAACCTTAAAGCATCACAGAGCAGGTAAAAATTTGGGGATTTCATAAATGTATTTGTGGTTTAATTCAATCCGATTCGAGATTTTGAAGTCGGGGCAAAAATAGCGCTTACAGTAAAATGTTTAGAAAGCGTGTTGGTCTATTTGAGGCAGTGTATTATGGGTTGGAAAATTACATTTTTAACCCTCAAACTTTACCCGCTTTTTCGGTATTGTCCCTAATCATTTTCGAGTTATAATAGTGGCCCCTAATGATGCCATTTTTATATAATTTTCATCCTACTGTTAGTTTTTGCTGTTAGTTTTGATGGAAGTATGACATCATCATTTCAAGTCCATGTCATACTTCCATCTAAACTAACAGAGAAAACTAACGGTAGAACAAAAATTGTATAAAAATGGCATCATTAGGGACTACTATTGTAACTTAGAAATGTTTAGGGACAGTACTGAAAAAGTGGATAATGTTTGAGGATGGAAAATATAATTTTCCCGGTTGTGGGTAGGGTGGAAATCAAAGAGATGGAATTATCACTTTTTATATATATGCTCTATTTTTTTTTTAGTTTTTTTGGAAATGAAAATTTTTATTCTAAAAAATAATAAATCGAAATTTAAAAAATTGAAATAAAAAACTTATTTCAAAATATCCGAAAGTTTTAGACCTGATTCATCGGAATTTGTTATTTCCATTTTTTTCAGCAAGACCTAGCGAATAGGGGGATTCGAACCTGGTTAACACTAGCTCTCTTGCGGGACATTACTATTATTTTCTAGTTACATGTATAATAGCAACAAATCAAGTTCAAATATATATCGCATTTAATTTAAAACTATTATATTAGACTAGAATTTGTTTAAATTCAACTTAATTAATATTAAAATCAAAGCGAACGTGAATACAATTCAATATCTATTTGGGTTCGAACGTCATCTAAGTTTTCTTTTCTTTCTTTTTTTGGTATTGAAAGAGCCTGCAACCAATCGGTGCACTGCGTAAACCTAAATTCTTGTATAATAGCTTGCAGACCATACGAGAGACGAGATTAGACTCGTGTTGGATTTTGGCCCAAATATGTTCTGGGCCATAAAGCCCAATTGCCATCATTTAATATACACCACCATACTGAGTTAAGCCCAAGTTATTATAAGTGAGCCCAGCCCATTTCATAGCCAGATCCATCCGTTGGATCTCAGGCTTAATCTGGACCGTTCAGTATCTCACTTAAATAGCATTTTCTCTCTCTTCGTTTCTCTCACTCTGAAACCCTGACTCTTACCCTCTCTTCTCCGCCGCTCCTTCGTCTGTCTTCTTCCTCCCTTGTACTGCCTTGACTGAGTTATGGCTGGAGGTCAAAGTGCACGGTACAGTGCTGACTTTGACCCTCCGGTACAGCCTTCACCGGCTCTCTTTGACTTCAGTCCCTATATATGTTGGCATGGAGGCTGGAAGAGGGTAAGACATAGATAAAACCTAATCAGACCTAAATTCCTCTGTTTTTTCTTCTTTGTGAGTTCAGAAATTGGGGGTTTTGATGAGTGGGTTAGCTTGAGTGCTTGATCTGTTCTTCCTTCGTGGTTTCTGGGTATTTTAGGGTTTGAGTGTTGTGAGAGAGAAAGAAGATCTGTTCTCCTTGAGGTACTCTGGTGGTGTATATTTGGAAGTGTGAATCTCTGGTGTGAAATTGGAAGACTGAGCTGAAAATCTCAATCTATTTGTTTTTCCAATTTATTTCATACCTTGCATTTCTTTCTTTCTTTTATACATTCATACCTATATATATCTATTTTCCTTGGCAGTAATCAATACTGCAAAAGGGGAATACATATAGTTTTCAGTAGGTTGTGAATGGAGCTTGGCGATTTGATACCCTACAGTGGTATCAGAGCTATGGCTATAGCTTAGCTCTACTCAAAGCGGAGTAATTTCAAAACCTAACTTGGTTTTGTCAAGGTAACACCTCTGAAACCCTAATTTCATTTCCTGTTCGTTGACCTGTGGAGATTGGGAGCCCTGTGTGGCTATTGAGTTGGCCCTGTGTGGCGTGGTGGCCCTGTGTGGCATTGTGTGGCCCTGTGTGGCATTATTTGACCTTGCTTGATCTTTCACTCTCTTCTACTTGCTATTTTTCCGCACTTAGTGTAGTTAAGGATTGCTCTCATCCACCCTTTCTTGTCCGGACCGCCTTAGTGTCGCAGGAATCTGGAAAGGGGAGGGCAATCTGATTATTTACTGCGTTACTCTGTATTTTTCTGTGTGATTCTGTGTGACTGTGTGATTCTGTGCCTCTTATCTGTGTGAAACTATGAATGCTTATCCCTTAGCTCCTTTTGATGGAAAAGGGGATTTTCCTATTTGGCAACAGAAAATAAAAGGTGTTTTAGTGCAACAAAAATGTTTTAAAGCTGTTACATTAGCATATGATGATAACACTACTGCTGCCAAGAAGGCAGAATTTGATGAACTTGCTTATTCTTTGATTATCTTGAACCTAAGTGACTATGTGATTAGAAAACTAGGAAAACAAGATAATGCTAAAGCCTTGTGGGATAAATTGGAAGAACTTTATACTGAAACCTCATTGCCCTCCAAAATGTTTTTGTTGGAAAAATTCTTTAGATTCAAACTGGATTTAAACAAAGACATTGATGAAAATCTTGATGTTTTTACAAAACTGGTTCAGGATATTAAACTGACTGGAGACAAAAATATTGATGATTATTCTCCTATTGTTTTGCTAAATGCTATCCCTGATACTTACAGTGATGTAAAGTCAGCCATTAAGTATGGCAGAGATAAGGTTTCTTTGGACACTGTGATAAATGGTTTAAAAAGCAAAGAACTGGACTTAAAAACTACCAAGGGTAGTAAATCTTTTGGTGAAATATATTTTGTGAAAGGGAAGCCTAAAAATCAGTTTCAAAGCAACTTTCAAAATAAATTTCAAAACAAGGCTTCCTCCAGTCTTTACAAAAACCTAAAAAGGGCAAGGGGTGGAATAAGTTTAAAGCCAAAGGCAGAAAGTGTTATAACTGTGGTAAAAATGGTCATTATGCTAATGAGTGTTCTGAGCCTAAAAAGGAAAGAACCAATGAACATGCTAATGTTGTGACTGATAACCTTGGTGATGTGTTTATGGTTGGTGATGTAATGCATGATTATGTGAACTCTGTGATCTCCTCTCTTTGTGATAATGATTGGATTTTTGACTCTGCATGTACCCATCATATGACACCTCATAGACATCTGTTTTCCTCCTATGTGAAACTTGAAAATGGTAATGTGTCTATGGCTGATAACAGTGAAAGAACTGTAGTTGGAATTGGAACAATCTGCCTAAAATCTGAATCTGGTTTTGAGCTAGTTCTTAAAAATGTTAGGCATGTTCCCAAACTGAGCAGTAATTTGTTATCTGTTGCTATTCTTGAAGATAGTGGTCTGCATGGTAATTGGGGAGATGGTTGTCAAAGAATCATGTTGCATGATAAATTTGTTTTCAAAGCTGTTAGAATGCAAAACCTCTATGTGTGTTCTGCTGAACCTGTTTTGCATGCCAACACTGTTAATCATGACATGTCTATTCTGTGGCATAAAAGGTTAGGTCATATAAGTGGTAAAGGTCTTGAAATTCTGCATAAGAATAATTATCTGAGTGATGATTGTGTGACCAATTTGCCTATATGTGACTCATGCATCCTTGGAAAACAAACTAAAGTTAAATTTCCTGTTTCTCCATTCCCCAATTCTTCTAAATGTTCTAATATACTTGAATATGTGCATGCTGATGTGTGGGGCCCTGCCCCAGTTCCCTCTCATGGTGGAAATAGATATTTTTTGTCTATTGTGGATGATTTTTCTAGAAAAGTGTTTGTGTTTTTACTCAAGAATAAATATGATGTGTGTGAAAGATTTAAAAATTGGAAAATCTTGATTGAAAACCAAACTGGGAAGAAATCAAAACTTTGAGAACTGATAATGGAACTGAATTCTGTAATGCTGAATTTGATACTCTGTGTTCTGAATCTGGCATTAAGAGACATAAAACTGTTGTGTACACACCCCAACAAAATGGTATTGCAGAAAGAATGAATAGAACTTTGCTTGATAGAGTTAGGTCTATGCTAAATTCTTCTGGCTTGAAAAAACCTTTTTGGGTGAAGCTGTTCTTACTGCTGCTTATTTGATAAATAGGTCTCCTTCTGTGCCCTTAAATGGGGAATTGCCTGAATCTAAATGGTGTGGTAAACCTGTTGATTTATCAAATTTGAAAGTTTTTGGTTGTACTATGTTTGTTCATCAAAAACTTGATAAACTTGACCCCAGATCTGTGAAATGTGTTTTCTTAGGATACCCTGAAGGGGTTAAGGGGTATAGATGTTGGTTGTATGGTGATCAGGGTTTTAAAACTGTGATTAGCAGAAATGTTGTGTTTAATGAAAATGAATTTCCATGCTTATCTGCTCCTACTATTGTTTCACCTGATACCATTTCATCTGAGGTGGAGATTCCACCTGTTAATTCTGTTCAAACTGAAAATGAAAACTCTGATGATGAAGTTGTTAATAATGAGATGCCTGAAAACACTGTTTTTGATCAAAATGCTAATCTTGATGTTCCCTCTGTGAATGATCTTAGTGATTATCAACTTGCCAGGGACAGAGATAGAAGAAACATTGTTAGGCCCCCTCATTTGAATGATTATCAACTTGCTTCTCATGTGTTTCATGTGTTTGATTCTCTAGATGGTAATGAACCTAAGTCTTATAGGGAAGCTTTGAATTCCGATGAGTCTGTTGAGTGGTTAAATGCTATGAATGATGAAATGAAGTCCTTACATGTTAACCATACTTGGATTCTTGTACCTAAACCTCCTGCATGCTCTTTAGTTGACTGTAAGTGGTTGTTTAAGGTTAAACATGAATCTGACTCTGTTAGATATAAAGCTAGGCTAGTGGCTAAGGGGTTTACCCAAAAGGAAGGTATTGATTACACTGAAATATTTGCTCCTGTTGTGAAATTCACCACTGTTAGAATCATGCTTGCTTTAATTGCTCACTTTAACTGGGAATTAAAACAAATGGATGTGAAAACTGCTTTTCTGCATGGGGAATTAAATGAGCAAATATATATGTGCCAGCCTGAGGGTTTTTGTGATAAAAAACATCCTGATTATGTGTGCCTGCTTAAGAAATCTTTGTATGGACTTAAACAGTCACCTAGGCAATGGAACAAGAAATTTGATGCATGCATGATGTCTTTAAAATTTAAAAGGAGTTCTTATGATCCTTGTTTGTACTTTAAAGAATCTGCAAAAATTCCTGTGTTCTTACTTATCTATGTGGATGACATGCTTCTTGCTAGTCCTTGCATTCAAACTGTTAATCATGTGATTGAATGCCTTAGTGATGAGTTTGACATGAAACTTCTTGGTGATGCAAAAAGAATTCTTGGCATGGACATAATTAGAGATAGAACTGGCTGTACTCTGTTTCTGAATCAATCCTCCTATATTGAGAAAATCCTTGAAAAAATTTCTATGTTGTCTGCCAAACCTGTGTCTGTTCCTCTTGCTTCTCATTTTTTGCTAAGTAAGGACCAGTCTCCCAAGACTGAGCCTGAAATCTCTAAAATGAAAAATGTGCCATATGCCAATGCCATTGGCTCTGTTATGTACTTGATGGTTAGTACTAGGCCTGACATTGCATATTCTGTGAGTTGCTTGAGTAGATATATGTCTAATCCAGGTTTGCCTCACTGGGAGGCTCTAAAATGGCTACTTAGATATTTGAAAGGTACTGTTAAAACTGGTTTGATGTTTTCAAAAGGCAAAACTGAAATTGAACTCTGTGGTTATGTGGATTCAAACTTTGCCAATGATAGGGACAATAGAAAATCTTCTACCTCTTATGTGTTCACCTTAAATGGTGCTTGTGTTAGTTGGAAATCTCAACTCCAACACATTGTTGCTCTGTCTACTACTGAATCTGAATATATAGTTGCTACTGAGGCTATTAAAGAAGCCATTTGGCTTAAAGGGCTGTTGTTGGAAGTTGATATGCTTAATTCCAAAGTGGTAGTATTTTCTGATAGTCAATCTGGCATTCAACTGTGTAAAAATCCTGTTTTTCATGATAGAACTAAACACATTGATGTGAAGTTCCATTTCATTAGGGATGTGGTTGAAAAAGGGATTATTGACCTTGAAAAAATCCCATCTGAGTTCAATCCAGCTGACATGGGAACTAAATGTCTGCCTTCTGAAAAATTCTGTTCTTGTTTGCAAAACTTGAACATTCTTTCCAAACCTTGACTTGCTGTGTGCTAGTTTGTAGTCTGTGTGACTTGGTATTTATGCTTTCTTTGTGATTGCTTGTTTAATCTTTTTCTGTGTGACTAAGATTGTGCTGTCTAGGTGATTGCATTACTGCATTTATTTTAAAAGTGCAGATAAGTTGTATTCTGAGTGAATTCAACTTGATATACTTGTATGAACTGTGTGCTCTTACTGGTGTGTCAAAAATCAGCAATGATGACTTCCAAATTTTTTTATAAATTTTCACTAATGATTCACATTTGGTCCAAGGTGGAGAATTGTTGGATTTTGGCCCAAATATGTTCTGGGTCATAAAGCCCAATTGCCATCATTTAATATACACCACCATACTGAGTTAAGCCCAAGTTATTATAAGTGAGCCCAGCCCATTTCATAGCCAGATCCATCCGTTGGATCTCAGGCTTAATCTGGACCGTTCAGTATCTCACTTAAATAGCATTTTCTCTCTCTTCGTTTCTCTCACTCTGAAACCCTAACTCTTACCCTCTCTTCTCCGCCGCTCCTTCGTCTGTCTTCTTCCTCCCTTGTACTGCCTTGACTGAGTTATGGCTGGAGGTCAAAGTGCACGGTACAGTGCTGACTTTGACCCTCCGGTACAGCCTTCACCGGCTCTCTTTGACTTCAGTCCCTATATATGTTGGCATGGAGGCTGGAAGAGGGTAAGACATAGATAAACCCTAATCAGACCTAAATTCCTCTGTTTTTTCTTCTTTGTGAGTTCAGAAATTGGGGGTTTTGATGAGTGGGTTAGCTTGAGTGCTTGATCTGTTCTTCCTTCGTGGTTTCTGGGTATTTTAGGGTTTGAGTGTTGTGAGAGAGAAAGAAGATCTGTTCTCCTTGAGGTACTCTGGTGGTGTATATTTGGAAGTGTGAATCTCTGGTGTGAAATTGGAAGACTGAGCTGAAAATCTCAATCTATTTGTTTTTCCAATTTATTTCATACCTTGCATTTCTTTCTTTCTTTTATACATTCATACCTATATATATCTATTTTCCTTGGCAGTAATCAATACTGCAAAAGGGGAATACATATAGTTTTCAGTAGGTTGTGAATGGAGCTTGGCGATTTGATACCCTACAACTCGGACTCACTAAATAGGAATCAATTTTTATAACTCGTCTAATAATTTTAAAATAATTTTCGAACAAGAAATATTATTTTGTTGTTTAAATCGCTGAAATTATAATGTGAAGTATGAACAGAAGAATGTAGAAGGGTGCAACATTTATTAGTCTATTATTTGGGTGGGGTTAGGCACTTCATCTCACATATACAATATCTTGATTTTTCCAACAATTTAGGTCAAAAAATAACCATTTTCTACGGGGTCTTTTATCGACACTTTTTAGATTGAGTTTGCCAGCAAATTTAAGAAAAGTATAATCAATGCATCATTGATATTTTAAAGGGTCAATTATGGTTGCCAAAGTTAGGTTAAATTACAAAAAAAAAACCTTCATGTTTGAATAATTACAATCACATTCCTTAACTATAAATTATTTTACACATTATCTTATGTATCAAATTTAATGGAATCTTCTAGATTAAGTGAAATATTCTCCAATTTGTACCTATTTTAGCGCCACAATTTGAAACAGATGATCATATGATGTGTCTCTTGACTTGTAAATATCAGATTGTGGTGCATCCGAAACTGCACTTTCACACAAAACGAGTACCAACTAGAGGACATTCCACTGATCTAGAAGATTATGTTGAATCTGACACCATAAGGGTGAACATGTAAGAAGATTCATAGTTGAAGGGGTACTTGTAATTACCCAAACATGATGATTTTTTTTCTTCATAATTTGATTTTACCTCAGGGGTGACCGTAATTTACTCTATTCTAAAATGACCCCAAAAAAAAATCTAAATCAACGAATATTTAACACGAAAAAAAGTAATTAATAATAAAATTGAAACTTAAAATCCAGAGTCTTGTCCAAAGAAATAGAAAGTTGTAACTAGTTACCAAGTTTTGTACGAGGATGGATGCTAGACTTCATTGGCATTGACTATTGACTGTTGTTCATCTAAATACTAATGTTATTATTTTCCTTGCGTGCAAGATTGGCACATCACTTTGGTTATTTACTTATTTGACCTAAACTTCAATTAAAAAGAAAGAAAAAAAATGAAAATTAATGTTTTTAATTTGAATCCAAATGGGACACTTCTGCACGCAATATATTTCAAGATGTAAATACCAATATTTCACCAAACAAGTTCATGAAAATGACAATTAAAATAAATAAATAAAACATTATTTTTTTCCTTTGAATTTGTAACTAACTCTTACTATTTTTGTTTAGTCGATGCAAAAATTAGGAGGTAAACATTAAACATATGCAGAATCGTTAGTTAAATTTGCCCAAAACATATACGAAAAAACATTAATCCCCTTGCTTTAATTTATGTTGTCTAGTATTAATATTGTATTCTTTTTTTAGGATTAATGATGTATGATAATAATTATACAATTATGGGGCTAATCTCCTATCCATGTGGGAAGGCTATCCAAAATTATTCAACATAGGGAAACAAATATGGAAATTTAAGCAATATTATTGAATTTCGCTGATTTAATTTTGATCCCACAATTTTTTTTAATTCTAATTCTTATAGTTTTTTAAATTCGACTTTCGTATAAAATTGAAATACTATATATGTGATTTGAAGGCCCATAATCTTGTCAAAATGAAAAATTCTTTCATATAATATAAAAAACACTTATTTAAAAAAAAATCTTACTGTAAAAAGATTAATACAAGGGGCTCTAATTAATTTCCTTCATTTTAAATATTTTTACATAAAATTTATGTAATTCGGTTATTTAGTTCGGTAAACGATATGAAATTTATATTCAGTTCGGTAATGGTATGAAATGTTGGTGTACCGAAATTTCAGTTCGGTTTTACCAAATTAACATCCCTAAATTTACCTCTGGATGGGTCTTTTTGTAAGATAATACATAGTTGAGGGGTGGTTGTAATTACCCAAACAGTAGATAAGTTTTTGTAATTTGACCATAACTCAGGGGTAACCGTAATTTGCCATATATATATATATATATATATGTGTGTGTGTGTGTGTGTGTGTGTGTGTGTGTGTGTGTGAGATGGATATGCATTTGATATATAGAGTATTCTGGAAATGAGCAGTCTTTCTCAACTCTAATTTATTGTTGATCTGATATGTCAATGCATCCAAACCTAACAAATTGAAAAAATTGTTCATCAAATGTGAAAGCAAAAAAATAATATTATTTAATTTGACTTGTTCCTCCTTTTGATCACCACCATATATAATAAATCCACATTTTTTCCATGCACGTAATAATAAATACAACCTCGTAATTAAAAGCCAATTTAAACATCATCATAAGTACTCAATCAAAACTTTGTCCTAAAATTATCAGCCAACAATTAATATATATTATGATGCAACGATTATGTGGTTTGAGTTCTGCCAAAAGGTACTTATCATTTTATTTTTATTTTCATCATTAGTGTTTTATTAGAATTGTTTCAAGAAATTTAATTTATTTATGAATGAAATTTATACATGTGAACAGAGGTAAGAGAAGAAGGATGAAGATTCCGGTGGGGATAATAGACAACGCTGACGCGTCGCACGAAGGGATTAAATCTGTCGACGCGAATAATCGTTGCGAATTTTCGATCACTTCCGATCTTTGTATCTGCATAGTCACTTGGAACATGAACGGACAGGTAATTATTAATTCGATCTATACTTTCGGGTTTTTTTTTTCTTTTAAATAATGAAAAATAAAATAAAAATTGTTGGTGTTGAAGGTAGGATATGAAGATATAAGAAAGCTAGTTGGAAACGAGAGAAAGTACGATCTGCTCGTAATTGGGTTGCAAGAGGTGCCTCGTACAAACGTACTCGAATTGCTCGAGAATGCTTTAGCCGAATCTCATCTGTAAGAATACTTACATATATAAATAATATCTCAAATTTTAGTTTCTTCTATATGTTTTTAATGAATTCGGACGACAACTAGTGTAGCAAGACCAGGTCAAATCTATGCTACACCCAGTTAAATATATAACGTATGAGTTAATCGTTATTGTTGATTTACACACACCAACATGGATGTGTGTAATTGTGTGATGATGTACCAAATTAAAGTACATTTTTTCTCGTGTACGTGGTTGGATTAAAATTGGTTTCGTTTTCGAAAGATTCTTAGGAAAAGCAGTCATGCAATCTCTGCAATTGTACATGTTTGGATCCAAGAATTCAGAACTGCATATAAAAGGTAAGAATTATTTGCAAAATAAAATAAAATAATATTTCAATTAGATCGAATGTTAATTTGCATGGACTAATTTGTTGTAATTTTTTTCAGAACTAAGAGTTGATAAACAAGGAATTGGAGGGTGTGGAGGGTTAATTAGGAGAAAGAAAGGAGCTGTGGCAATTAGAATTACTTACAAGGGCATAAATATGGTCTTCATTTCATGCCATCTTTCTGGTAATTAATTAATTAATTAATTCACCTTATTAATTTCTATATTCTATTTATTCAATAAAATAAAATAAAATAAATATTTATTTTTTAATTTTTGCAGCTCATGCACGTAATGTGGAGGAAAGAAATTCGGAATTTAGGCACATATCACAATATTTATTTTCGAAAAATTGGAACCCGTATTCGAAGCAAGCACAAGTAACCGTTTGGCTAGGAGATTTGAACTATAGACTACAAGGAGTTAATACATTTCCTGCAAGAGATCTCATTCACAATGACCTTCATGGAGTAAGTCTACCTTATTCAATTTTTATTTTATGTATATATTTTATTATTATTATTATTATTATTATTATTATTATTATTATTATTATTATTATTATTATTATTGTTTTAGAGAAAAATTGTAGTTTTGGACCTTTATTTTGTCATAAGTAGGCATTTTAATTAGTCTTCTAATAACTTACCAGGTTTCAATTTTGCATGCAATAACTTAGTAAATATAGTATTTTTGGTCCTGTTTTGCATGATTTTTATAATTTTAGGATGCGACATATAAACTTGATGGATTTTTACTCATATGGACGCTTGAACTAGTAGAACTTTGAGTGTGTGATTGAGATGACGAATATTGCATGCAAAAAAGGGTAAAATTTGGCGAGGTTGTTAGCGATATCATTAAAAAATTGGTAAAATTCAAAGTTCGAATGAAATAGGGCAAAAAAATGCGAATTTTGCCTAGTTATTATATGTAAAATTGAAATAAGACAATTTTGAGGACTAAATCTATAAAGATACCAATATATAGGACCAAAATTACAAGCTTATCTAAGTACTATTTTATCTTATATCCTTACTTCATTAGTATATGCACTATAATGCATTTACTAATAATACTCCCTACGTTCCTAATTAATTATCGTTTTTCAGCTTTGCACAAGTATTAAGAATCTTAATAATTATGTCTTGATTTTAGGAAAAAAATATATATTAAAAAGACTAAAATAACCTTGATCATTTAATGATGTCATATGAGAGGGTTAACACTTAGAATTGAATTACTCCATAAGTTTAAAATAGAAAAAAAAAATCATTTGGTGCAGTACTGAAAATATAAACTTTTCAAATAATGTAACTGTTATAATGGAACAGGTGTAGTATCACGAACTAATATCCAATAAATAAGAGTATAAAATACAAATAAAATGACAACAAAGTACAAACACAAAAAACATGACTACAATATTAATGATTCACTTACTAGTAACATAGTTATTTAGAGTAAACTGCAAATACCACCCCTGTGTTATCTCGAAATAGCAGAAACCCCCCTGTGATAAATAAACTAGCAAAAACCCCCCTGTGAAATTTAGTCAAAGGCAGAATCCCCCCTAGCTGATTTTTTAGACTTGAAATGACAAAATTGTCCCTCAAAATGTATTTATATATATACATATTATATGTATATTTATTCTTTTTAATTTGTTTGTTTAGAAATTAAAAAAAAATAGTAAACAACTAAATTGATTATTTTTTAAATAAAATAATTAAAATATTTATAAAATATAAGAATTTATTAATTGCAAGACTCCAGGGGTATTTGTGTCTTTTTATATCAAGTCAACCCTCAAATAGTTCCATAGGGGGGTTTTTGCTATTTAAATAATTTCACAGGGGGGTTTTTGCTAGTTTATTTATCACAGGGGGGGTTTTGCTATTTCGAGATTACACAGGGGTAGTTTTTGCAGTTTACTCTAGTTATTTATGGTGACAATGTAATTGCAGCTGTTGACCGACAAAGACCAACTTCTGCAAGAAGCTGAGAGAGGACAAGTTTTCAATGGGTACTATGAGGGGACCTTACATTTCAAGCCAACTTACAAATACAACATTGGCACTAATGTTTATGACACAAGTCACAAGGTAGGTATATCTACTATATCTTTATCTATATTTATGTTTGTATGTATAGTACACTATCAACAATTAAATTGAAATAAAAGGGTAAATTATGAAAAACTCCTCTGGGGTAAGGTGAAATTATGAAAAACTCTCTTGTGTTTAGGTAATTACAACAACCCCCGAAATGCCCTCAATTATGAATTTTCTTACATGTCCATTCTTATGGTGTCAAATTCAATAGAATCTTCTGGATTATGTGGAATGTTCTCCAGTTTGTACTCGTTTTGTGCAAAAACGCAGTTTTTGATGCACCACAATCTGATATTTACAAGCCAAGAGACACATCTTATGATCATCTTATTGCATAATAATGTGGAGCTCGGATGTGGCAAAACGGGTACAGATTGGAGAATATTCCACATAATCTAGAAGATTGTACCAAATTTTACATCACGAGGGTGGACGTGTATGAACATTCATAGTTGTGGGGTGGTTGTAATCATCCAAACTAAAGTTTTTTTTTTCCGTAATTTAACTTTAACTCGGGACGGCTGAAAACCCTACATAAAATTTGATTTTCTTTAATTAAAAATAAAATAAATAAATTAATGTATGGTTTGTATTATTGTTGGTGAATACAGGTAAGAGTGCCAGCGTGGACAGATAGAATACTGTACAAAGTAGAAGGTAAAGAGATTGAAGCAACTTTGCATTTGTATGAACCCATTGAGGGTGTTTTTGGCTCTGATCATAAACCTGTCAAAGCTCATCTTTGCTTGAAAATTATTAAATAAATTATCAAAGTAATTCTAAATCTTTTTTTTTTAATTACTTTTAATTGGTGTTACTTCTTATTTTATTTGTTCATTCAATTTTTTTAGTTTTATTTTAATAGTTTCCATAGAAGAATCTGAAATTTCCGAAACAGCAAACGGGGTTATCAGTAAGTTAAAGGCCAACTATAGTTAAACCTCTATAAATTAATACAGTTGTGACTTGCATAATACTATTAATCTAGCGAAATATTAAATTATCGAATTAGTAATTTAATACGTTTTACCAAATCTGGACTGCCAGATATTATTATTTAAAATAAAATTATTAATTAATCGAGAATCTACTGTAAAAAAACTGAAATGTTGTGGACATGAAATGGAATATGGGCCATATATCTGGGCCTGGCCGAATTTGATTCGGGTGGGTCTAAAGTCTATTATACAATTTGATATTATCTAATAATATATTTATTTATTATATGTGCAAACTGAAATGATAAATGCAGGACAATATTTAGTATATGTAGGACGTTTTTCTAATTTGAACAAAAAATTGTGTTTCAGATTAAAATTGTAGAAAAGGTCCTTACCAATAGGGTAAAAGGTCTAGGGTTCGAGTCCCCCCTCCCCTACTTCCCCTTGTAATGACTTGAATTACTCAAAAAAAAAAAAAAAAAAAAAAAAAAAAACAAAAAATTGTGTTTCAGATTAAAATTGTAGAAAAGGTCAATAAAAAACAAAACAAAAAATTATGTTCTAAATTTGACTATTGATCCTTCTATTTAGAATTGTGTGTTGATGAGCTGAATACATTCGATTAACGAAAAAAAATCGAAATTAGTCTTATATAAAATTTGTTAGATTTTTCTTGGAATTTGATTGACGAAATGTTCAAAAAATAAGAAAATTTACAAGGTGAGGTGAGGTTAGTATTTAAAAGAGGAAAAATGTCATATATGTACTAAATATTGTTATGCATTTATCAAGACCCATGTATCAACGGCTTTGTAGCAGTGTAAATTGGAACAAAATTTTCGATTTAATCAAATTTTTTAGTCCTGACATCAAATTTTTCGATTTTTTCGTATTAGAGGTTTTATATACGAGATTTTGATTTCCAATATAATATTAGTTGCCAAACATAAACTACTAAAATTTAGGGTAAATAGCACTTAACCCCCTTGTGGTTTGGGCAATTTGCACATGACCCCCTTGTGGTTTGAAATTATGCACACAACCCCCTTGTGGTTTTGACATTTTGCACATGACCCCCTTATGGTATGAAATTAGGCACATAACCCCCTTGTGGTTTTGACATTTTGCACATGACCCCCTTATGGTATGAAATTAGCACATAACCCCCCTTGAATAGAAAACTGGAAAAGACTAAATTACCCCTATCAAGTCAAAAGTTCTTGTTTTAATTTAAAAATAATTATTCTATAAAATAAAAAGCTTAATGTACATTTTTGTAAAATGAAAAATATAATATATCATCGTATTTTTTTTAATTTTACAGCACAAAAGGTGTATAATACTAGTTATTGTACGATTGACAATTTATTCGATTTAAAAAATCAATTTGAAAATCTTTAACATTTCATTAATTATGATTATTATATTATTATTTTCTATATAATATATTATATTATAGTTGTTATCGAACTTTAATTTTTTTAAGAAACAAAGTCTTCATTTCTTTTATGGAAAATTCGAAAAAAACATTTTTCTATAGTTGAAATGAAAATTAAATTAAAAAATATATATATGTGCTGTAAAATAGAAAAAACACAATAATATATTATATTTTTATTTGACAAAAAAGTACATTAAGCTTTTCATTTTTTAGAATAATTATTTTTAAATTAAAACAAGAACTTTTGACTTGATAGGGGCAATTTAGTCTTTTCCAGTTTTCTATTCAATGGGTTTATGTGCTAATTTCATACCATAAGGGGGTCATGTGCAAAATTTCAAAACCAGAAAAGGGTTATGTGCCTAATTTCATACCATAAGGGGGTCATGTGCAAAATGTCAAAACCACAAGGGGATTATGTGCATAATTTCAAACCACAAGGGGGTTATGTGCAAAATGCCCAAACCACAAGGGGTTTAAGTGCTATTTACCCTAAAATTTACTCCATATCTATGAATGATTAATGTGGGGTTGAAAATTGAAGGCCACCGGTGGGACCCACGCTCTGAACTGCAGCAGGGGGGTATCCTTTTATGTAGGGACCAAAAGGTGATAATCGCATGTAATTATTAACCAAATTTAATTAAACGGAAGAACCAAATTTAAATGACACTTAAATTTAAAAAAAAAACAACGGTCCGATTTTTTCAGTGGGTTTGAAAGTGACAGCTCAGTCAGACCAAAAAGAAAGGCCAATAAATGAAAGAAAAAAAATGGTCCCGATTTAGCGTATTTAATTTCTTGATGAAAAATAATAAAAAGATAGCCAACCGATTTACTTATTATAGGCTATGCTCTATATAGAGTAGTCATACCTAGAGGTTGGATTATTTTTATTTTTATTTTTATTTTTTATTATTATTATTATTATTATTATTTTATAGAAAATATCCACAAATCAAATGTTCCGGTGTACCACATCGAAATTCGACCGCAATTTTATTATCGATTTTATGTTGATCGTATCGGATGATGTATATTTATATCTATCTATATACATATATACCCGAGGTGGAGCCATTAGTGCACCAGGTGGAACTTCAGCCCACTCTCGATCTAATTTGTTTACTATAACATACTATTTGTTTACCTTAATAGAAATTCCGACTCTGCTACTGGATATATTCTACGGATACATACATTCAAAATAATTTAGATACACATCGAGTACTATTCTAGAATTAATTTCTTGTTCATATGCAAATGTATAGTGTGTTCACTTGCTTTTGTGTGTTTTAAGTTTATATATACATCTATATAATTAAGTTTAAACACATATTTATGTGTCATAAATATTTACTATTTATCATACATATAAAATAATATTTGGGGATATAATTATATGTAGTTATGTTATAATTATAACAATAGATTGTATATTTATGTTATGCATTAGTTATTACACTTCAAACATTCAGACAATATTCTTTCTTTTTTCAATGAAAAAACCCCGCAACCATGCAAATATATATGCACCGAGCAAACATTAATTACTCTCGTACAATAGCTTACAAATCATAACAAACATTTTCCTATATGCAAGTAGGTTTTGTAGATATATGCTACACCCGATAAAATACACCTGATAATTCTCCATCGTTGACCTACACATAATAACACACGCATCCTGCTTAATCACCACATATATACTAATTATTATATATAACAAATCATTATATATCATTATTCTCTCGTTTATATACAATTAATTGCACTCATCATTTATTTTTAAACCCTAAAACAAATCATATCTCTCTCTCTCACACACACACACACTAGCCAAAGCCATTAATACATGCTTATAATTAATAACAATATGAATTTACTAATATGCCTCAAAGTCTCTAATAGAGAGTCGACTCATTCTAGGCACATGATTCTCAGAATGCCTAAGCCCCAAAGTAAGCGACACGTCACCCCCTCCGACCCCAGCCTCGGCCGCATCCCTCGTCATAAAATACCGATACTCCGGCGGCTGCGGCCCGGCTCCTCCCGCCGGGTTTTTACCGCGGTAGCGGACGGTGTGATTTAGTGAAGGGTCGTTTTCTTGTAGTGCAGAAGCAGCGTTGTGCGTTGGGGTTAGTGAAGAAGAGGGTCCAGCAGTAGTGGTAGTAGTACTTATCATACTGGTCGACGCGTCTTGTTTCGGTTCTTGTGCAGTAGAGGGTTGTACCTCGTGATCCTGCAGCTCCTGCTGGTACATTTCTTCCACCATGGGCTTCCATAGACGAACCCTAGCATTTATGAACCAATTTGATACCTGCACACAAATTAGTATTTATTATTATTATTATTATATTAGCTTATATATATATAGTATCATGCATGCATGCAGCATGCAGTAATGAATTGATCAGATGATGATTCACTATATATTGAATACGCACACAGACTGGTCTCTTTCACACATTTTTGCAGTAAGAATGTTTTTACCTTTATTTATTTATTATTATTTATTCCCTGGTAAAATTTAAACTAATAAAATAAGGACTTGTTTAGTTGTTACTATTAATTATGGGATTAGTCAAAATCAAATATTTAAAAGGGTGCAAATTTAGACCGAATGGTCTGTTTTAATAGGAAAATCGGATGCCATAGGATGATTGACATGTGGATAGTTTAAATAAAAATATAATTATGATTCTAATAATTATAATCAGCGTGATTTATTAAGAGTTAAAACTTAAGAGTGTCACATGTCAAAAAATTAGTGGAATCCGATTTATATTAAATATCGGCTGATCCGCTCATAATTTAATCTCTATTTAAAATATTAATTAATCAGAGCTAATGATTGGAAATATACATACATAATTAATTTTGTTAGCATGAAATATAAATCCAATTCTATATCCAAATGCAACCTAATGGAATTCCAATTCACTTGGCTCTCAATTTAAAGTTATTTTCCAAGTATCATACAATTCAAAGTCTTTCGAATTTTTCATACTCCATCGAATGTTATCGCAATTTCTTCGGTTTGGCGAGATACTTTTGTTCTTTGGTTGCATCGTTTTATGAAATTGAGAATTTTTATTTCTCTCTAAAAGATCTTTGGTATTAGGGCATCCTAAACGAAGATTCGAAACCCTATAAGTCCAGTTATTTTAGAGAATCTTCAAATTTAGAGACTTCCACCAAAGTCTCAAAACATTTTCCCAATTATGGAATTACTTTGGAGACTATAAACAATTAATAATGTGACCTAATTTTATAGAGCCCATTGCTGCGTGTATATCTTTCTTTTTTTTAATAAAGTGACTTGACGTAAAAGTCAGTCTCTAAACGAGTCTCTAAAATAAGACATAGATATCGATACTCGATTGAGGATGTCCTTACAAAATTATTGCTTCTATTACAAGATTATCCATAGAAATGTCCTTATTGAGGTTGTATTTAGAGTACTAATTAAACTGTAGTATCTACCATCTAAACAAATTCATCATATTAATTACTATTTAAAATCTTTAGCTCCAAATTATTTCATCTAAATGCAAGCTAGTATTCTTGGTATATATCAAGTTTGAGAGATTCAATCTATATCTAAAGGATCTCCATCAATTACTTAAGAATTGTTTGTGAGGCGACTCATTTGATATTTCTATCTGCAGTAATATAATCATGCGCCCTCGTGTGCATGTGTGCTAGATTTTGAAGTCTTACATGTGGAATTTTTTGAACGGGCTAAAATTTTGATCTATTAGTGAAATGATTCATTTGATATTCATATAAATAACGAGAGACGTAAACCATAGTAGACTAACCACGTGTGACTGCAAGCTTGACCTTAACTGTTGGCAATGTGATTCGAACCTATAATATCAATTAATACAAACTCACTTGCTCCAACCGCCAAGCCATCCCTTGCGGGACTCAAGCTTCAAGCATATTACTTGTATTTCATGTTGTTATAATAATGTAACTACTAACATAATGTTTATATCATAATTGCACAATTTGAAGTTCATTAATTAATTTTGCATATATATATTATATGTACACACATACACACATACATACATGCACACATATATATAAACATATAAAATGCAGCATATAGTAATTCATTAAAAAAAAAAAACAATGAGATATGAAGTTTCCCTTTCAAGAAATAGGACGAGATACGAAAAGATGTAATGAGTACCTGATTTTTGGATAAACCAGTCTGCCTTGACAGCAAATGTTTGTCTGCTTCACTTGGGTACCTAAGACAAATTCAAACCATATTTATTAATAATTCTTAATTTAATTTAATTTTCTTGATCCACAATATTATATATATTCCCATTTGCAACAATGATTAGTACATAAATATTTACTGTTCTTGGATTGGAGTTGTAGTAGTCAATAATTGCACCAGCACCTAACTTATGGGGATTCTTGTTTTTAGTGTAATCACATGAATGGCATATACTAAATCATCATTATTTTAAAAAAAGAAAAATCATTTAATTAATGTCACTTACTTAAATCCCTATTTGAATTTAGATTTTTTTCATGATTTATACTATGTTACACAGAATAAAATACACCGAGTAGATCTTTACTATTCATAAGTACAAAAACACAAATATCCACACATTGGTGTGTGTATGAAAAACAAAAATTCACTCGGTGCAGTACCTGGTGTAGCATGATATAACATGATTTCTTTTAACTCTATTAACACAAGAAGAATTATACATTACCATAATGCAACATATTCTAAGATTGCAGAAATGTTATATATTCTTAATATTCTCTAAAATAAGCACGTATATTTTTCTAATCGCCCGAGTATTTGACAATAATTATCTCGTGACGATGCCTCCGGTTGGGGTTAAGACACACTATAAGATTTAGCTTACACGCATTTTCAACCACCAATTCATTTTAGAATAAGTACAATATACAACGTCCTCCAATATTCGTGATCTTCCTTTTCCTTTTCTCTTTTCCGGTTGTAAGTTATGTTATTAATAATATATATTTCATTCGTTCCACGTTCAGAATAAAATAAATAATGTAAGACCTAAGGCGCTACAAGTCAATTTAAGATAAACTATAGAAAATACACGAATATATATTCTAGCCTTATATTGTATTTACCTGGATTCACGATATTCGACTGTGCTTCACCCATACCGATCGAACATGGTAACATCACTAAAATCACAAATCCAATTTTTTCCTAGTTCATGATTAATATAATATATCTTTAATTCTTATGTTATATGTAATTAATTAATTAGTACATATTCACACTCACACATGACCATCTCTAATTATTCCTAATGCAGAAATCTTTCTGTACAATGTTATATACTAACAGATCTATACGTCTTATTTTGTGCGTGTGTGTGTGTGTGTGTGTGAGAGAGAGAGAGAGAGAGAGAGAGAGAGAGAGAGAGAGAGAGAGAGAGAGAGAAATATACGGATTGAGAAAATGCTCGAAAAGCCAAGCCCTGAGTATGTTCACAGATCGCTCAGGCAAACCTCTCTGGGGCCGCCACGTGTCCGGATCCATCATCCCGATGTGCTGCATCGCTTTCTGCTGCCTGTATTTCTGCTCCAGCATCTTCAGCCGCGGCGTCTCCCCTTTCGTCAGACCCCCGCCGCCGCCGCCGCCGCCGAGGAAGTCCTTCTCCCCGAGACCCTCGCACGTCTGCTTCAGCTGTCCAACAATCGCGTCCTTTATGCACCGGAAGTGCCTCGACATCGCCCTCCGCGCCAGCGTCGTGTACGGCGCCGCCGCCGCCGCCTGCCCCACCGCCGACTCGAACGAGTTCACCACCGCCTGCATCTGCTCGCAGTACCGCGTGTACCTCGCGTCCACCTGAAAAAAAATATATTATTATTTTAATTGAATTTAAAATAAATAAATAAAGGGATCGGACAGAAAATAAAGAAGCAACTGAGGGTCTCCACTATAAATATAAATCTGCGATCTGTGCAAACTTTTTCCGGCAGAAGGAATGTCGAATTAAAGTTGTTACATTCGCTTTTATGTACATTCATTCATTGCATGTCAATCATTGATTAATTATATTAATTACCCACTAATTAATAATTCATCTTTATAAATATACATAATATAATGCTCCAATAATTCATGTCTATGATAAAATATTACACAATTCCAAAATTTATAATGAAACAAACATTCAATTAGACCACATCAAAACCTATGTTCCAATTATTTAATAATCAGTAACATTCATAAGCACACAAACATACATACATCCACATTGGTGTGTGCAGATCAACAGTAAAAATACAGTCAGCCTACAATTACTTACAAGAAAATGTAATTAAGGAGATCAAGAAATTAAATGTTGACAAACCTCATCAAGCATTGTTAATAACTTAATCTTTCTCCTCTGAAACTCGGACCTTTCGGCGGGCGAAATGGGACGATGAACATCTTTCGAAGCAGACGACGGATCTGTAGCAAAATCGCCGCCGCCGATTGAATTATTATTATTATTATTATTATTAGGGTTTCTGCCTTGAACAGCATTCTTGAATTTCTTGCCACGGCTATTCGACTGCGCGGCCCCGATGCTAACAACGCAGCAGAACTCTCCCAACAATTCTTGCCCGGCCCGCAAATACCGCGAACTCCTCAGCGAGGAGTTCGCGGAACTGCTCGAAGATTCGAACATCCCGAAATGATTGTTGAATATACTTTCCGGGTTATTAGCTCCGAGATCTTGATTATGGAAGTTGTACATTTTAGCAGCTTCTTCTATATTGTTTCTTAGAGATGAAGAGAGTGACAAAGAAAGGGCTTGCCCCTCCACCATTCTTGATCTGGTGGTGGTGTGGTGGTGGACCCACGGCGGTTCCATGGCGGCGGTGGGCCCCACCACCGCCGGGCTTAGTAAGTGAAACCCTTGGAGCTGGTTGTTGTTGGTGTTGTTATAAGGAGGAGAAGAAGCAGAATTATCTGTGATGTGATGATTATTATTCATGAATGAAAGCTGCATGAAAGAAAAAGAAATTAAAAATAATAAATAAAATTTATAAACAACAAAATAAAAATTTAATGAATTTCAAGAATTATATTAATTTATTATACATATTTATATGAATTCACCTCATTTACTGCAGCTGCTGCTGACAGATGCTGATGGTGTTTTTGATGAGGCCACCGGTAATTATTCGATTGGATCTGATGATCCGGTGGCGGCACCAAGTTGATAATCTCGGTCAACATACCTCCGGCGTCGTACACCGGCGGCAGAGCGGTGGAATCCGGTGGCGGATGTGGAGGATCGAAGCCGCCTTGCGCTCTTAGCATCCAATTATTATCGGGCCCTAATTGGTGGTGT